GGTAAGCATCTAGTGATACGTAGCTTTAATCCGTCACCGTTCTTAGAACGGCGTCTATGAGCTCAAGATTTGCACTGGTGCTCGGTACAATATCACTAAGGAAATGGTCAAGGTCAAGACGGTCACTAAGAGAGTCCAGGAAGTTGTACGACCGTTCTTGTTGATCATCTTGGTTATTCAGTGGTGTTTCGTCAGCCCTTCATCCCCTCCGTCATCGAGCCTGCCTTCGGTGTTGGCCGCATTATCTACACCATCCTGGAACACACGTATGCGGGCTCGCTGATCGCCAGCACACTGATTGATTCCGCTGCAGGTTCCGCTCGCGTGAGATGGAGGATCAGGAGCTCCGCTGCTACCTTTCATTGCCTCCCGTTGTTGCTCCAACCAAGGTAGGTTGAGTTTGCGCCCGCAACGTTATTACGATGCTTTTGATAGGTGAGTGTGTTGCCCATCTCGAGTAACCCCACTCAGTTCAAGCCTGCTATGCACAAGATCACTGATGCTCTCAAGGAGCACGGTATCAGCTACAAGGTATGCTGTGGAGCTTCAGGAATCGTTGGGAAAAGCACTCTTGCTCAGGTTGATGACAGTGGCCAGGCGATTGGCAAGCGATATGCCAGAACTGATGAGATCGGTATCCCGTTCGGTATCACCATCGATTTCCAAAGTCTCAATGATGACACTGTAAGCCCACGAGCCTATTTGCCTTCCTGAGTTCTCCTTCAGGTCACTCTCCGTGAGCGTGATAGTATGAGCCAGATCCGTCTACCGATTGCTGATGTTGCCGATCTTGTTTACAAGCTGTGCACTGACCGTATGACGTGGGAGCAGGCGGCCGAGAAGTAAGCTGGACACCATTTTTTGTTGATGGCTCATGATGACTGGCAGGTACCCCAAGTTCGACGCCCAACATGCTTAGAGGGTGCGATAGTTGCGGTTGCGTGCGGTTCGATCGTTAGTAGACATTCATTAACACAAAGTGACGTTTCTCGAAATCGTTCGTGTTGCATTGGAAACGATTGTAAATGCCACAGGAAGAGGGAGCTGCCATGCCTCGAACCAATGACTAGCACTTTTTTTTCTAACGGTGATACCAATCTCATACTGCAGAAGATGAGCCCAAGTATGGTGATGAGACTTCCTACGAAACAATAGTTACATCACACTATTGAGAAGATATTCCTCAACCCAGACTGAACATCAATCGACTGATTCCAATCGTCATCTTGCTCTCTATCGGTTTCTCCCGTTCTGTATCGAAATGTTCGTTGTGGGAGAAGAGCTTGACAATCCAGTCAGTTGCTTGGGGAAATAGCGTACTATTTGTCACAATGTTTTCCACACGTGAGCAATAGCGAGGACTGTATAACCGGTGAAAACCTTGACACACTTGGCAACATAAACAGAAGAAAATATGAAACTTGAGTGAATGAATTTTTGCATGTATTCAACGGGGAACCTGCTGGACTTGTGTCGGATCAAACTTAGCCCTCTTTGCAGCTGGCTGCGATGCATTAGACTCCTCCATCACTTGTCGCCATAGAACCGGCACTCGTGGATTCTTCTTCACACGTCTTGCCATATCGTCGAAACGTTCAATCAACTCCCTGTGACTTTGGCTACCGGTTCCCCAAAGAATTCGATAAACTCTGCGCAGGATGCTCCGTAGCTGGTCATCGATAAGCGACTGTCCTCCAGTGACTATCAGCTTGGTACACTCCGTAATGACGCGACTATCCTCCTTGGAGAGAGTCCTATTCAGTAGAGTGACGAACTGATCGTTCTTCGTCTTGGTATTTTGACCGCCAGTTGAACCAGCCACTTGTTTGAGCATCCGGTTTGTCAAGGCGTTGAGGTTCTCCCCGTAAGCATCTCGGCTGTTGTGCTTCGAGGCGTTGGAGGGATTCGAAATCGACGTTGATCCCACCCGACCAACCAGCTTGCTGGACTTGCTCGCATCCTTGCTGCTATTAATCGCTGCCTCGAGGTACGAATCCTTGCAGAGGCGAGCCGATGCCTGCAGGGCTTCAGGAATTTGATTGAAAAACTGTGTTAGAGAACCTATGGCAGGGCCGAACGCTTGGTATGTCTTCACATAGGGCCGGAGCCAGGCGGGTAACCGATGGGCTTCGCTCTGGAATCTAGAGACGATGTAGACATGTCTACAAACGCTCGAGCTAGTGGGAGATCAATTGCTCTACCTCTCATCGCATAGCAGGACCGCGCCAAAATCATTCTTATGACGTATGATGCGCCCAACAGCCTGATTCACAGCTCGCATGGCCTCGAGGCTATACCATGCACGGCCGAGGGGAGCGTGTGCGCCTAAAGAATGATCTTCAGTCTGACACGCGTGCTAGTCAACCTGCCTTTTTGAATGTCTTCGATGTCTCTTGCAGTATCCAAATACTGCATTTTCAGCTGCACCCTCTCATCCTTGAACATTGGGTAGGGTATCTGTGGAGAAAGAAAAGAGACAAATATCGCTACTGTTGAGAGAGACTAGTGGGCCTACTCCAACGACCATGACTATGCGGCATTGCCGATCAGTGAGGTCAACTCCTTCGCAAACTTTACCGCGGCAAACTGCGCAGAGAATCGCTCCATTGCAGGAGTTAGAAGCTATAGCCGCCGTATACTCAGCCAGAACCGGTCTAAGGCGTGTCTGAGCACCACGAATAGTATATATCGAGTTACACGGCCCAAGCAAGTTGATGCATCTCAATATGGTCATCTAGATTATATAATCTCTTTTTCCACATTGCCCTTCCATTTTATCCCCTCTCCCCGCATAGGTTCAAAGCCCACAGCTGACATAGTGGAAGTCATGTAGTTTACCGCGTCATTTGGTTCTTCGAAGATTCTCAGTCCTCTTTGCTGGAATCGGTTGGTGATATCATGGGAGTCCCAGAAGTCCTTGGCAGTCCTGAGCTGTGCGTAGCTGCTGAAGGCAACCAACACACCGTCCCCTCCTAAGACCAGTGATTAGAGAAACACACAATCATTTCGATCCCACCAGCTTTAGGCGCAACATTCGCCAAGACATTGCCAAGCTCCTGCAAGTAATCATGGCTGTTCCTCGCTCTGAAGCTGCCGTTTAGTTTAACATTGGTTGGCCCCGCACATATGATACCACCCCATACTTGATCAAAAGCCACCACGCTGTTATCAGGAACCACGACTTCAGGAGCTCGACCTGCAACGGTGAACGAGTAGCCAGTGAAGCCCGATAAAGCGTGTGGTCACTTATGATGTGATCGTTCTCGAGCATAATAGGGAAGTCCACGCCGCGTAGTCCCCGCTTGAACTCAGTGAGGGGGGCGAGTGTGCCACTTGTGACTATGAGTGACAAGATGCCCTCGCTTGCCAACAGTTTTCTGGCTGCTACACCTCCTGAGAAGCACCTAGAATCGAAAGGCATTGACGATCAAATCAGTGCGTTTGGGGCGCACTGACTACCGACCGACTAAGATGAAGGTCGACGCTGTACACACCTGAGATGAACTGATTTCATGTGATTGGCCTGCTCTCGTATTTTGTCTTCGCGGCACTTCGCTGCCCTCAGATCTCTGCCCTCCACCACAGAGAAACGAAACACCTGAAACGGCCGTTCCTATTAAGGACAGACGTGCGCCGGCTTGCCTTGTCAAGAAGCTCAATATCATTCGCAAACACCAAATCGATGATGCGTAGAAAGCTTCCAAGGAAAGCTCCAGAAGAGGCAGCTCCTACAATCGACAGATTTCACAAGTTGATCGCACTCTCACCATGCAAAAGCTCACCTAGTGTATTATTGTTCGAGTGACCACCAGCGTCAGCCTCCGGAGCTGTTGTATGAAAGAGGGATATAGCCTGAACGGAAACGAGATGACAATACTGTCACTTAATATCAGTCCGCGGCTCACGCCTTCAAGTGTTGAGCGGATCCTCGTCACGGTCTGATCCGTGATCCCTGCCTGCTTGAAAAAGTCTAGCACCGCACTTCCCTCCGTTGCAGTAACGATATCAGCCGACGTTAGTGTAGCCTCCAACGACATCAGGTCCTGAGTAATCACCAATGACCATTTCGAGATATATGCTGACCTCCTTGAGAAGCAGAAGGTCATCCTCCGTCACTGGCGCGGCCGAAGGGCTGTCATCGGGAGCATGCTCAACGTTCAGGCCTAGAATCTTTGGGGAATTATTGCAGCGATACGCCGCCTGAAACGTTAACGCAGTGACGGTCCCGATGTAATTCTGCTCATTGAATGCTGTACTATGCAACAAGCTCTATACTGTACAATACACTATGCAACTTGTGATGATTCAACAACTCGAGTGAGCTCCAAATGGAGCAATGACAAGTCGTGAAAAAGTCATACCTCATCCACTTCCTCCACAGCTGCGAAAATGTCAAAGTTGCCCCACTCGAAACTTGCAGACTCCTCACAGACAGCTTCAATGTTATGTCCTTCGTCCACTATGACGATCGCCCCTGTGAGAGCACATACATGGTAGGCGCTCAAGCACAACTACCCACCTTCCAAGGCCTGTGGTCCTAAGGCTCCCTTCAAGGCTGACAGATCGAATAGGTAGTTGTACGGGACGAGCATGCATCCCAAATTAGACCCCTCGCGAGCCACCTTTCTGGCGTAGTAAAACGGACAGTAGCCTACCGAACACGAAACAGATGCAACCCCTCAAGAGCTCCGCTCGGGACCTTTCCCCCTAGCATGCGATGTCAGTTCTTCGACGTCGAGAGCTGGCGGCGGTATCATTGAGGGCGTCTCGTTCATCTGCCACATCCGATTGTAGTATGGACAGGCATTCTTGAGTATGAGACTGAGATTCGGTTGCCTACAACGACACTGCCTCGATGAGCTCACCTAGTGCACGCGGCTGTTTTCCGACTCCCTTGTATGGCGCTGATTCTGGTGTTAACGCAATAATGCTCTCGCGACGCCAAAGTTATATGCTGACAATCCTTCGCGTAGCTCGTACTTCTCAGTTCTCGCATCACCTACGCATGGCTCGTGAGCTCAGGTCACACTGTACACCGTACGTCTAATGACCGAACATGAACCTTCTATGAGCTCCATAGTATGAAGTTCATACATGAAAAATGTCCATGTATGATGAAGTACACCATAATGAGTGAGGACAACCGGCGCTACTCTGACGAACCTACCTGTCGCAGTTGGCTATGAGTTCTCGATGAATATACAATCTTCGGCACCGCCACTGGCGACTTCCGAGAAGGCGGGGACGGCGACCGACGGGATTGTCGCTGATGCTCTTCGACGATCAGCTGCTTGGAACGCCACCGTGGGCCGATGATACCTGATGCAAACGGAGGCGCGGCCTCAACACTCAGGCACATACCGAATTCCACGGCGTGAGCTATCTCTGGCTGTGTCTCTAGCGGAACATCCTCAATTGGGAGGGAAGCAGCGTTGGCAGATGAAGACGACGAAGGTATCTTGTCCTCAGTGAGGCTCCTTCGCCAGGCTAGGGTGGCACATAGAAGACAGAGAGTCTTCCCTGGAAGGAAAAGGTCAACCCTAAGACGCGAGGAGTATTTGCACACCTGTTCCTGTCGGGGACTCCAGTAGAGCGTTGTGAACAGCTGGCGAGCCTGTTTTTGGTGGATCCGAGTAAGCAGCTTGGAGAGTCTCGATAACCTGAAGATTGATCATGAACCTTCGGAAATGAAACGTAGTTAGCTGTATTGAGAGTGGCGAACGAGGGCAAAGGTCTGAAAACTTGCCTTAGTCATGTACGCCAACTGTGGTGGGTAGGCTTCGAATGGGAATTCAACCGTCACACCGTTGATGTCATACCTTCTCACACTGCTGGAGACTGTGTTATCTGTGGCCGCTACGGATGATGATGAAGAAGAAGACGACGACATGAGAATGAACTTCAAATGCGGATAAAACGTCAATCTCTGTAACAGACCGGGAGCACACGACAGGTATAACATGTAGCTCTCAGAATTGTTTTGATACCAGACAGCACCACGGAACCATACGCATGCCCGTTCAGTCTGAGAGGATGACGAGTGCGAACGATAACAACCGCAGCTCTCGACACAGCGCCGATATTTGGATTATATTGAGGGTGCATCATGTCCGAAGGTTTTCCCAGAGACTTCTCGTCGCCCCTCCTGAGGACTTCAAAGTATCAAATTGACACTATTAATCGGACTTCCTGAGGCGGCGTGTCTCACCAGAAAACACGCTATACTTTCTACAGGTTCTTTGGTGACAAACTGGTCACCAGTGAATACCTCTCCATAACGCTTTGCTAATTACACGCAGATAAAAGACTCTTGGACCGCACGACAAGACCTCAATATCCCTCATCAAGAGTATGACCTCTTTCGAATGATGCCAACTATAATATAGAAAGACAGAGCTAGACGACCTGCCCGCATGCGGGGATAGAATCAGACAGGCCATTAATTAACACTGTATCACAACGAGGTATCGGATGAATCGTGAAACTCAAGCACAAGGAAGTGACGTAGTCATGTAGGTGGATCCAATTGATACTTTGGCACTCACCGCCATTTCGATGTCTATCGTCGCTCATTACCGTCATGCTAGCTTACCAAGCGCCTCCCATGAGACAACCAATCATGAAGTCAACACAAGCAAGAGCGATCCAGAGATATGAATTATAGCTGAACATGTGTGCAGACGTCATGCACGACCAGACGTTGATCTCAGGACCGAATCGATATCGCCATCTACGAGTTCCGGATAACTGCTTGAGAATTCCTTGAAACCTCCACTGAGGAGATATACTTCATCCCATCCCTTCTGGACCTAAGGGCATGGTTCGACTTGAAATATGAATAAACATCACCATTGCTGTGACCGTGCCTTTAGCCGCCCTGTCATCGACATCGTAAACCACCATCATGCGGTCTTTCATTTCACTCGAAGTCGACGCGGAGGCACCTTGCGACGATCGTTCTCACAATAACAGGCGGTGTGGCTACCGTACAAGGGCACAAACAATTTCCCACGTGTGCACTACCTTTCGAGTCCCCTAGTCCTCGAGAGGTTCTGAATTTGGCCATCTCGGGTAGTATCCGGTCCCGAGCCAGCAGTGCCGCTGGGAAGCTGATAGCTGTTGCAATGTGAGCTACATTGTAGTCTTCGGAAGGCCCTGGTAGAATCCGATGGAAAAACCATCAAATGAATGGTTACTTAAATCCAACAACAAAACATCAGACGTGTCGGTCCATCCCATACATTCTGAACTCACAACTGAATATACAGTGTCACCTGAGGCAAAGCTCGCCGATCGCCTTGAGGGACATAAAACGGACAAAATATAGAGAAGGAAGTAAAGGAGAGCCAGGCTCATGGAACTATTGTTTATGAGGGAGTTCAAGTGAGTACGAGTAGTGGCGTACGCTATTGTGTCTATCACAGTGCTAAAAATAATACACTCGCCGAGGTCTACTAATTCGACGTGATTCTCATCCAACCGCGAACTTTCAATCGAGCTACTTGGAAGAATGAAGCTACCAGTCAAATGCCTTCTACGATGCTCAGCGCCAGAGCCGTCCGGTAATTCACGCTAATCGAGCTTATGCCAAATATTACTCTTATGACTCGCTCCTGTCCTATTTGTATATCCCCTGCTGGTAGCAGTAGCATCCGAAGCCGTGGGACTCCCTGTCAAGTGGTTCGGCTTCCTATTTCTACTAAAGAGGTCGGACTTACGGTCCAGGGTGTCGGAGCTGGCAGTGTCGGCCATGGCATACACGGACTCAATTACTTCAGACTCTCGAAGTAGTCGAGCTAGAGTTCTAGACCTCATCCCTAGGAGTCGAAATTCTAATGAATCTAGATCTGTCGAGACCTACTGCGGAACACCTCCTGTTTCCTCGAGGCGAGCTCCTTGTCCGATACGAGAGTGATGTTCTTCGCAGTGGCGCCAGTGTCGATGTTTGATACTACCTGAAGGTCCATCGCAAGAAATTAAGCACTTGTCCCGAAGCATTACATGAGCATACTTAGGGTTAGGTTTAATTTTTCGATCGAGAAAGTTCCTCCTCCTTCTGGGCACCAACGGGCTGCCAGTATCTGAGTTCTTACGAGGCGCAGCGAAGGACATCAAAGTCGAGGAACTCTGCCCTGAGCTGCAGGGATTGACAACACAAATATAACCCGCTTATACGAAGATATCAAGTGAAGGGCACAGAATAGCTAGGCTAGACGCCAGCTACTCTAGTCGTGGTCTCCACTATCACATAATTGTGTCGGCGGAGCGAAGCGGAGGGATGAGTATCATCACAACTTGACTGTGATTATACATCACGGTGACGAGTGGATAACGACGTCGGATAGATGATTAGGCTGTGATAGGTCCATTCTGTATCCATCATAATGAAAGAACTCATTAATGTTCGCAAACTTTCTCGACTTGCGCTCCTTAATCCATCGTGCCGTGATATTTACGCAGATGCAAGATTTCAACGGTTTCAAGATACCCTCGAGTCAGTCGCCTGCTAGCAAGTAAGGGAAGATAACTGAACTGTGCTACTAGTGTAAGTACCTCTTGCTGGACTCACCAACGCTACTGGGGTGATATTAGTCCTCTGAAACTCCTATCTTCCAAGTTGACACGCATTCCCCGAATTTCGGATCCATCAATACTCCCGGGTCTACTCCCATGCACGAAGGTTAACGTCACTTCGTGTTCAAGTACTGTGGCCCGTGGTGAAATGTCCTACTGGCCAAACTGCTCCTATTGATTTTTTTCTCTCAGGAATTTTGCCTTATAGATAGTTTTCCCGGGGAAACTGTTCAAATTAACTGATCGAGTGCATCATCGCGTACGATCATATCGGACGAGTTTGCAGAGCACCCCATTTTCTATAGTGGAAGCGAAATTAATCGGTAGCTCATGAGCAAGTATAATATTTCCGAACCGCGATAGTGATTGCACTTAAATGATAGCACCACTAGCATAGTAGTATTCTGGTCATTTCATAATTCTCGAGATGCCCCGGTCGTTCATCAGTATGGAATAATCGTTCTCTGCCATTAGTGAGGGGCTGATAAGGAGTCGTTTTTCGGGCTCTCCATCGAGCTTGGTAACTCATGTTACAGTAATTTACGGTGAAATTTAAGAGGCAATTCGGTGCTGCCAACACTCAGCAGACTGTGCTTTCTATTCCACGGACCAAAATGGGTAAGTTTGGTATCGTTAGCACGCGCTTTAAGTCCCTAGTTCTTTATTGAACCACAGTGGTGTTCTTAATGCAGAGAATGATAACATGAGTATCGTAGTTCCATCATCGGTTTTCGGGGCGGTGGCAGCAGTGAGAGCTCTCAGAGACAACGAGAACAAAGAGAAACGCTCGGTTCCCAAACGTAGCTTGTAATCCACCTATTTACCATTAATGTACTTGTTCAATCGATGATGGCTTGTCTTTTTCTTCGTGTCGCGTTCTAACTCTATCAGTGGTCAGGATTCGCTAGGATGTGTGGTGATCTGTCTTCACCGAGCAATGATGATTGCAGCTTATGATCACTCGTCAGAGTTCTGCTTGATTGGAAATGATTCTGCGGAGTGGATGCTCAGTGGGCCCGTATTGTAATTCGCCGCGAGTAGCCTACCTCCAATTGAGTCGGCGGTTCTTCGCCTATGAGGACACTCCAACATTCTGGCTCAAGGGTCACAAAAAGACGGTGCTGACGATACAACCCATGTTCGACCGAAACTACAGATTGGTAGTCACGTTGAATTCGATAGCTGGGGCGGTTGGGATCGTTACCTAGGCAACATGGCACGCCAAGGAGGCACTGGCGCTCGGACGTGCTGCTAAATGGGACAACTTGCCCGGCGCCTTCGAGCCAGAAGAAGGTTGGGATAATAGGCTCATTGCGAAGATAGAGGAGGATAAAGATGTGTTGAATATGGTAGACGTCTCGAATGTAGCAAGTGTGGTACCTCAGGCACTTGATATCCAGCGTAAAGAGCTGATGCGGGACTCTGACGGCAACCAGTGGTTAACAATCAAGTCCGAAGAGCAAGAGAGTGACGACGAATATGACATGGATGATCCCCTTTGGGCCAATGATGAGTATGCACGCGCTGTCCAGTTCTGAGTGTTCATTCTTGCTACTCTCAGAGTGCTCACACAATGGGCACAATCCTGCGTTTGCCCACTGCGGCGCATCCACAGTCAGTATTATCTCCCACCAACCAGAATAGAACAAGTATCTGTCTGCATCGCAAGGATGCCTCCCAAGTAGGTTCAGTGTCGGCTGAGATTCCGGATTCATCCTCCTCGAATTGCTACTAATTTCGATTTCTGGTTCGTCCATGCGATTTCAGGGTGTCGGTTTCCCATAGCATTGCGCAGATTACAGGTACGTCTTCATAAACGACACTCTAACACAAAATCAGATCCAGCATCTGGAAAAGTATTTCAATGCAGCCATGCAAGCTTTTAAAGCGGAGGATCAGTCTAATGCGAAGTTGCGACATCACTTGAGGTGAGCCATTGCTATATCGTTGTCATGGCTGGAATGGTCTAGTTGGTTATGACGATCGCCTCACACGCGATAGGTCCCGAGTTCGATTCTCGGTTCCAGTATTTGCGCGTTCTCACCAACTGCCAATATCGATTGTATTGACGGAAGTGATCTCCTCAGGCACCGTGTGGGTTTCTCAGAACAGGATGAGATAGATCGATACGAGGACAGAGATTCATTCTTCCGACCAGAATACGTTGAGGTGTGACAGGGAGTCTCTCGCGGTAGAGTCCGCAGCTCAGACCTAGAATGCTGAAATTTACTCCACCTTCAAGAGAGAATAAACTCGTACGCTGGAGGTCCTTATCACTTATTGGTGTCTATGAGTATGCATACCTCCTCTTTGAGTCGAGATCCTTCGCAGGTGGTTGATCGACAACGTGTCGTACTGGAGGTCTTCGCGCTGCGGGCGAAGACAGGCGCAGCCGAGTGGCAGGTGCATCGACGGCCACGTTGTCGATGGCTCATTTGCTGTGTCTGCCAGGTGCGGATCGCGCGACTTGCATACATGCGAATAAACATCCCCATACAAAGCCCGAGTCACACGAAGGGCATGCAGGACCTGCTTTCAAGGTTTGTCGCTCCTTATCATCAGGTGCGGGAAAGGTTCACTTCGAGTATCAACTGATTGATAACTGCACGGTCAGGTTCCAGTATTCCGCGATAACGTTGTAACAGATTTTTCTCAACACACGATGGACGAAACCAACGAGCTGCTCAATAGACAGGAGCGGGAGTGCAGGAAAAAACTTGAGCAGGTAACCCTTCGAACTCGATGAGAGGATGATCCCCTCGGATCAGTTGCGAATCTCTCGCGAGAAGCAGCGCGCCCGACGGCGAGAAAAGGTGACGATAGCTCTGGTCGGTTACACCAATAGCGGGAAAACAGCGCTGCTCAACAGGCTTACGGGGGCCAATAAGCGTGTGAGGGACTTGCTATTCCAGACTACGGGTAGAACCTCGAAGGCTCCGACGGGTACACTGACTTTACCTCAGATACCACTTGGAAGAGACTCATTCTGCCTTCTGGAGCTAAGTGCCTCGTTGTAGATGGCGTTGGATTCATCAGAGACTTGCCCCATTTCCTGTACCTATCAGCCTTTATCAGCGTTTTTGCACCCAGGATCCATAACCTTGGGTTAGGTTCGATTCTTTTTATGCAACGATAGAGGAGTTGGTGGATTCGGATGTGATCCTACACGTCCGCGATATGTCCAGTGAGACCACTGTCGAAGAGGTGAATCGGCGGGCGCAGTCCGTTGCTTCGACGAATTTGTTTTTGTTCTCTTAGTATGATGCTGTTATACAGTCACTTAAAGGTTGTGGCTTCACTGATGAACATATCCGGAATCGAATAGTCGAAGTCTGGAATAAAGTCGACAAGCTCAGTGAAGTTGAGCTACATGCGTAAGATCGATGCTCTTGTGGATAAGCAGTCCCCGTTAGGGCTTTGGCCGCGCAACATGAGGACACTGAGGCGAAAGAGCCAATTCTTGTATCAGCTGAGGATGGCACCGGAATTAAAGTACAGTACTGGGTCATGCATGTCGGTCACGAAAAGCACACTTTCGATGATCGTTACACTGTGAACAAATCAATAGAATTCAACCGCTCTCGTCGATTTCTCATCAGTTACTGACCGATCTGTTGGATGAGATCGTAAATGCTAGATTGCGTACCAAGGTCATCACCGTGGATATGCCTTGTGGAGACACTAACACGCGAATGCAATTCCTCAACGAATATGCGGAGGCCGTGTAAGAGTTATGTGACCAGCACCTGCTGAACGAAAGGTTGACGGTAGATACGATCACACGATGAGAGTGAGCTCGGATGGGAAAACGACATCAGTTGATGTGCTCATAACGGAGGTCCAGATGGATCGTTATATGGCCAAGTTTCACGGACGGAGCCGTCGGATGAGACTCGAGGCCGACAAGGAGAGAAGACTGCTGGAAAGCGAAGGACAAGCTCGGATCGAGCACGCTGAGGACGATAAGACAGAACACTGATCTTCATGTTTCTTGTGATATCTCTCTTGAGTCGATGCTTGCGTAGGGAGTACCGTTCGGTCCGAAAAGGTGATGAGAAGTGTATTGCTATTACATGTAATGCATGATAGCGTGTAGTAAGCGCGGCGATGGGGTAACAGATATCTCGCTAATCAATAAGACTTCGATCGTGCAAGTTGCGACCACCTGTAGCCACCTTGAGCCAAATGAATTTGTCCTATCAGTGACTCCTGACTGCAACACAAAACTTAACTCGTCAATCAGAATCATCAGACTGAAACCCAAACAGTAACTTAGTCCCAATATCTTCATTTTCCTCATCTCGGGGCCTCACGTTATTACCAGCGTACCACACCGTATCCGAAACCTTTGCAATCGGATCAGCTCCATCGCCCGCTCCGTAGAGAGCGTTTCGCTTCTGCCGCTTATGTTCAAGCCTCCGAGCTTTCCGACCTTCACCCGCACCGAGTTGCTTCCGTTGTGGTACTAGACTCTCCAAAACCTCACTCCACGCACTACTTCCTTTTTCCAGAACGGCAAACAAAATCTCAACAACAGTGTTGATATTCAATACCGGCAAAGTGACATTGGGTAGGTACTCTCGTACTGGTAGTTTTCGCAATACTATGCTCCCCCCGGCCGCCGGTGCTGGGTCAAGCCTATTGGCTTGGCTGAAGGTCTCATTCTTGGCGATGGTGCGATCAACAAGCCCCCCTATTACATACACCTTATCCTTCTCAACCGCCTCCAAATCTTCCACGGCATCAGGGGTGAGTACTACAATATCGTGCCCTGCAAATGTGTCCCAATAAGGGCCCTTGTCGATATGAACCTTCCAGTTCTCGTAACCCTGTGGGTGCAAGCGAGTCTCCAGAGCAGAGTCCATCCCAACCAAATGGAACTGCACACAGGACTCCTTCGACCGCTTTAGTGTATTGTACGCCAACTGCAACTGTTTCGCTAAGGACGTTATCTCCTTTTCCTGCATTTGATCGGTGAAGCCACAGTTGAAAGCGATGATTGGATTGCCTTCGTCATAGCACGCCTGCATGTGCGCCTCGCTCCGCTCCTTTTCAGCAATGCGCTCGGCTTTCTCAGCATCAGCCCGTTCCTGGATCTCCTCGGCGCTTAGACCCGCAAGCTCGTCCCTACGCTCCTCACGACGCCGCTCCTTGACAGCCTTCCTCTTCATCTTACGCACCTCCTTACGCTGCTCTCTCTGGGCCTCCTTCCTCTCGCGCTTCTTCTGCGACTTCGGCTTACGTGTGAACGACGATATACTGGCATCAATAGACTCGTTGCTCGACATCTCTATGTCAGCCGATGGTGTCGATGAGATCTCACCACGAGTGCTCGGCGATGAACACTGCATTAGTTCGGTGGACATGCGAGAGCGATCCTCAGGAAGGACAAAAAGGGACGTGCTGCAACAGCACAGCCCAAATCCACTACGTAGGGTTCGTCGATTACACTGGTTGCGAACACCCTTGCAATAGTTTCTCGCACGCCTCCCCTATCAACAATTCTTTCAATACTGAGTCGACCGAGCCGCGACTAGGAAGAATTTTGTGCTCTCCGAAACATGGCCGGTAAAATTTCGCGGTACGAGAAAACCGACTACGATGATTTGCGAAGTTTCGATAACCGCATCTCGAGCAAGGAGTAGCACACTTCGATGGAGGAAATTGTGGCGAGCGCTGAATTTAGTGGCGCAGCGGTCAAGCGATGATACGTATTCCCACCCTGGCTGTGAGGGTCATACTACATATAACGTAATCGAGAGACGCTGTAGTTGAGCAGGTGGTTCGATGAGTTGGCGCACCAGAAGTGGGCTGTGGAAAGAGTATTACCTCCGTTCACTTCAATGGATGGTTTTAAGTTAAAACTGTGTTGAAATTCTAAACACATTTCTATTGAGGATTGACGAGCCCGGTCTTGCTTTGTTCGTGCGTGCAGTCCTGTGTACGTGCGTGCCCCGCAATTGATGGTGTTTTTTCCCTGAGCCATTATATTAAATGACATTGATACGCTCAATCTCAGTTTCACAACCGTAAACTTGTCTACTCGTTGTTAATATGGCGACACCTGAGGAGCTCGCTGAGCTCTCTGAAGCCCGTAGAGAGTTGGCCGCTACGCGCCGTTCCCTCCGGGATACTCGCGAGGCTCTCAACAACATCATCTCCGACGAGAAGGATGATACTCAGCAGCTTATGAGCGACCTCGCGTCCAAGGAGGCCAGTAATCTTTCTAAGATAGGTAGCCTCGAGGCCCGTATTGCTGAACTTGAGGCCCTGGCTGACCGATCCGTCAGCGAGATATCACGGAAGGAAGGTTTCAGTCGACTCTCTCCACGGTCCGAGGAGGAGGAGCATGAGGTGTATACCACTCCGAAGTCACGCTCCTCACGATGCCCGGCAGCGACAGTGACTAAGTTATGTCTGCCTCAACTCTGTGAAGCAACAGATCTCCAATCGCACTATCATGCTATTGAACACACCTTCGTTGAAGCAGGAGCCGCTGAGTATCACCAGCAAGGACATTTGCTAGTGCACGAGGAGGTCAAAGTATCTGTCATGACCAAATTCCTTTCCTCTCTGAGTAATGTCCGACCGGTCCATAAGAAGGCCACTGTAGCGTCACGTACCCACTCACAGGATTGGAATTTGGTCCGCAATGTCCTTCTGACGAGGTATTGCCGCAGATCAGTGTTGAAGGAGACCTACGAGGAGAAGTTACGCAATCTCACATTTACAGGGGTTAAGCAGATCGAGGATTTCCTGGAGTCCGCCGCCGATATCTACCATCTATTCACAGATGTCTACCCGAACGACGTGTCGGAGCGACGTTCATTGACAAGACAAGTTCTGGCGAAGTTCCCACAGCATATCATTGAGAAGGTTATGGAGAGAATTTGCCAGCTGTCGGGGTTAGCCTCTGTCGATGAGGACTGGGAGACGGCGGTGCCATTCGATGAGGCATCAGACGGAGTGCGAAGTGTTTGTGAGGCAATCCGATGGGTATGCCGAACAAAGGACCAAGCCTCAATAATGAAACCGACGAAAGGGGTCGATAGTGTTCACGCCGCCATGTACGACGACACCTGCGAAGAGAGTTTATCCTCGAAGCCGGCAAGCAAACAGGATTCTGCTGCCTCAGTGGATAAGGTTAACTCCGGATCGGGATCTCGCTCAGTAACCCCCAAGCAGTGGTGTGAACGATATAAGCCTGACCAATTGATCAAGGTCATTGGACTGTGGGGTGACGATCTGCAGAAGGCCATTCCTGAAATGGAGAGCAACTTCCCTTTGAAGGGAAAAGGACGTCGTAATCCGTTCTTCCGAATAGTTGCTCTCAAGGCTGGCACTGATAGGGATGCCGTTATCTCTCGACTGACGAAGAACAGCATCCGTTCTGACCGGTTTGCCCCTTTCTCATGAGTCCTGAGCAGGACTTGAAACTGCTTCCTATCACTCGTGATAGGGCTTCGGTACCATCTGCTTACTGGTTATGTTGTCGTCTTGCTACTACCCCCACTTGTATGAGTTGGATAGATGCCCGGTTATTATTAGACACCGGGGCTGGTCTTGATTTTTTATTGTACGATGACTCTTTCCCTTTAAAATCATTCCCAATTGAGACGTGTAGTTTCCAAGTGAAGCTTGCTGACTCGTCCAGTCGAAAAGTGAGTCGCAAAGTGAAGTTCCCAATGCAGCTCCGGGAACAGCAGGGATGGGGAACTACTCGTGACAGATATTTGTACCTGCTACCTCAAGTATCACGGGGCCCCTTATCTGATTGCCCAGTGATTATCGCGGGTCGAGTCTTTTTGCGTGATTATAAAATATCGATTGACTCAGGCGAGAGCCGAGTGACGCTCGCTGGTAATGATCTGCCCCTTGTCCGATTCCCGCAAGAATCGGTGCCTACCGTTGCTCGATGCTCAGTGACCGAAGAGTCTAATATATGTATTCTTGATCCCAGTCTAGGGGATGGGAAATGGGACGACGAAGCTGCTGGCTGCCTGCTGACGACTATGATTGAGGGCCGACAGGATGCAGACACATCCTATGAACGACTTCCCCTCCCGCCCTCATCATCTGAGGAGATGGACATTCCTTTCGACACGGTACCACCAATCTCAACTGACCTGCTTGACCGATTGGTCAGCCAAGGGTGGTGGCCAATGCGGAAGTGTCAACACTGGTTTGCTCGTCTACGGAAGCTCCGTGCTGATGAAATACGTGACGACTCCCGACAGACTCACGTGTTTGAGCTTAGATGTGATTCCTTGGGCGAGGCGAGTCATGTACAAATTCCAACGGCTGTCCGTCGAATTGCGGAACGCGCATACGAACGATTAACCCTCGAGAAGCAGAAGACCTTTGACGAGCTAGTCCGAGGATATGAAGAGAGAGGATGGTGGATAAAGAGATCTGAGGAAGAGATTCACACACTCTCCAAGACCACCCACATTCTCCCTCCATCGGTTGTATTCATGATCCCAGGAGCTCTCAAGCGACGAGATAGACTTGTCGTCGATCTGCGACGGGCCAATCGTCGTTTCACAAGAGGGTCCAGTTCCTCGGTCACGGTTTCTATCTGCATAGCGGTGACTCGTCTGTATGGATCGGGAGTCATGTGGGTCATGGATTGTTCACGCGCGTTCTATAAATTGCGCTGGTTGGGCCTACTTGCCTTGTTGGTGGTACGTTCATCGCTGTACACGAGCAACCGCTGTGTCTTCGGCGTCACCACTGGTCCTGGAAGTTTGGGGCATACTCTGGGAGACCTGATAGCAGCATTCAGAGCTCTCTGTGCAATGTTGCTTCTTTGTTTCCTATTACTCTGCTTCGTTGATGACATTCTATGTGCGGGAGTGGACGGTGCTTCAGCAGTATGTTGGTTGATATATACACTACAGAGATGCGCCTTCGGGGTATCTCGGAAGAAATTCCAAGCGATCGCCATCAGGTCATCAAGGAGTCATGTTGCCGATATCCTAGAGCGGATGAACCTACCGACTTCCCTCTTCGTATGGTCGGATTCCGCCGACTTACTGGGATGCACAATGACTTACGATGAGAGTGGACCGACGCCTCTTCTTCGCGTCGATTGCAACCGAGGTGATCGGCTCCAGTTGGCTCGGCAGCAGGCCACATCAGTGTTACAAGTGTTGGATGGTAACGTCACGACGACGGTGACTAAGGCTTTTATCTTCTCTCTCGGCGGGAACCTAGCATATGACTGTGCTGGTTGCCACCCAATCGACCGGGTGCTAGCGGATACTATCCGAAGCTGGTTTGCCCACACCTTTGCGAAGGTCGATTGGAGAAGCTCGTGCGATTTTTCCAAACTATCTGATCTACAGAGGTCTGTTGCTCGGTCGCTGATGAACTGGATTTTAGAGAGAACGGCGACGATCACTCCGTGCTTACATGACACTCCACTTCGAGAAAGCGCTGATCCTTTACATATCGAAGTCGCGGCCGATGCCTCTAACATTGGAGCAGGGTACACTGTATCGATAGTGCACCCAAATGGTGATAGTGGAGCCACTCGATATCTTCTTGCATCTGGGGCTTGGAGATTCACTCTCGCTCAGCAACATTATCATTCAAATCGCCGTGAATTATCCGTTTGTTGTCGAGCGGTGCAGTGCGCTATTGATATTGTGGCTCACTTAGCGACGACACTGTCAGGAACCTTACCTTCGATTACCTTGACCGTAAGATCGGATAATAAACCGACGGTGCAGTGGATCAACGGTCATGGGGGTGTGTCTAGATCTTCACTAGAGCGGAGGGCAGTGTTGCGAACCCTCAACGCCCTCCGGGATGAGCTCGACTACCTGAAGACCTTGGGGGCCGGAACAGTGGTGGTGAAACACATCGAGGGTAAGTCGAACACCATGCCGGATATGCTCTCGCGACTCTTCGAGAGAGAGGTCCACCTAGAATCAGGCCAACGGATGAAGCTGGTCGATGCTCTCCATGGTGGTCCTGGTAACACTGGTGACTTCCCCGAGATCTTCTCAGAGCCGGAAGCTGAAGGAGTAGGCCTGTCTTGGATCATGAGATCTGAGGGGGCGGAGCTGATGGATGAAGATGCTCATGATGTGGACATTTACACTCTTTTGAGTGCTATGCCTTCTACAGAGAGTTTCCTTGCCTGTTGTGCAGCCGATTCCGCTGCCGATGAACAACAGCCGAAGCCATTTATCGAGACTCTATGTGGTTGCAATTGGGATGTGAATGGCGTCCTTACCGATTTCCTCTTCCTGCACAGAGTTTTCAATGCTCTGAGGCCGTCTGCGAAGAGAGTTGAGGATGTCCGACTCGAGGCCGATAATGTCAACTACCTTGTGAGATCTCTGCAGCAGCAGATGAAGCCTCCTTTTCTGTCGTGTGCCGGCCCGTACGTACACGATGAGACCGCAGGGGTGTATTGTTTCCGAAACGGCTCTGCAGACGGTGGTTGTACCTACTTGCCTGTTATCCCGAAGGATGAGTGTTGTCGTGCGTTTCGAGCAAAGATCTGTCTCGACTCGCACCGGCTGAGCAAACACGGAAATGTCCGCTCGACTGTGGCATCTGTGTATGATCGGTTCTACTTGCCTCGCCTACGTATGGATGTTCGCGCCTTGGTAAAGCACTGTTTCGTTTGTCAGCTCATCCGAGCTCGTCGTACGTGGACTCAGCCACCGGGTGCTGGACCTCATCGCACCCAAGCCACAGCGTGGGAACCGTACCACGATGTGTTCGTCGACGTCCTGAGCCTTGGAGATATCAAAGGTTGGTCCGGGACGACCAAGGTGCTTACCGTCTACTGTCTCCATACCTTCCACTCCACTTGGGTTCCGACTGGCGAGACCACGATAGACGTCTTGAATTCTCTCGTCCGAGTGCAGACTGAACAAGGCGGGTTGAGAAGATTGTGGTGTGATAATGCTGCTTACTTCCGCAGTGCACGTTTCCCCAAAGAGGTTTCTCGCCTGTTGAATGGGACGGTTTCATTGCTGCCAGTGCGATCTCCATGGCGTAGTGGTGGCGGTGAACGTGCTCATGGTATTGGCATAAAGATCGCAAAGACGCTTCTGAGGAGCCAAGCGGGATTTGTGGGACGACGACGTCCGCGACGCAAGGACGATGTCGATTTGGAGAGTATCTGCAGGGAGGTAACGTTCCTGATGAATACTCGTCCGTTGGATTATGCTAACTCTGACGAGCCATCTGGCGAGTTTGTCGTGGTTACGCCTGATCAATTGGCTCGTGGATTTACTCGTAAGCGAGGTTGCGTCCTCGCTGGTGGCTCTTCTACTCTTCCTATTTCTCACCGCGTTAGAGCAGTGCGGTGTTATTTCCTGAATGAGATGTTCCGCGACATGAGGATGGCTGTCGCTCGCTCTATGGGGTACCAGAGCTTGAAGAACAAGATCCTGAAGCCTACGATTGGTGACCCAGTGCTGATCTACCATCCGGAAAAGAAGCTGAGCCCCGGATACCGTTTGGGTCATGTGAAGGATCTGCTAGATGAAGGTAGAAGGATCCGTATTGTCTTAACTGACGGTAGCGTTGTTGATCATCATCACTATAATGTTGTGCCGATTCTGCATCACCCTCAATTGTCGGGGCAGAGGGGGCGTATTGAGGATTGACGAGCCCGGTCTTGCTTTGTTCGTGCGTGCAGTCCTGTGTACGTGCGTGCCCCGCAATTGATGGTGTTTTTTCCCTGAGCCATTATATTAAATGACATTGATACGCTCAATCTCAGTTTCACAACCGTAAACTTGTCTACTCGTTGTTAATATTCCTAGAAAATGAATATAAGAATAGCGGTTGATGTGACAATGTATTCATCCTCCAGTTGTTTGAAATCATAATGGCTTCCGTTCTACCGTTATCCGAGGAACAGCTGCTGACTCTCCGCAACGATATCCTGCCTTATAAGGAGTACACTGAGTACAGCCCTATGCCCGCCTCTGGAGTTGAAGTGTCTTATTGTTCGGTAAGATCCTGTTGTGAGCCCCGTTGAAATCATGCGGATGCTGTTAGATCTGCGGACTCCCGCAGGACTTTTGCGAGTTCGGACCGAGCTGGGATAAATGCCGCTCGAGTGCAGTAGCAGCATACCCTCAGCTGTACCCACAATATCAAGGCGAAGGTGACGAGAAGGATGCTGATCAACACCAAGGAGATGCCAATAGTAGAATTGTCGATGATTCGAAGTAATACTGGACAATTTGCCGACACTCGCTGGCCTCCTTGAGCAAATATGTTGTTCTTTTCACGTCGGTCGCTCACTGTTTACAAGGCAGTTCATCGTGGTACTTGTTTGTCAGGAACGTCGATGGTGATATCTCTTCGTTGGTCACCATTCGAAAGCTCATCCGTAGTAAACGTAAGATAATTACCAGTGTGAGTGGACTCGAAAGCTACGGTGTCGATATTCAACAAGCATGTAAACTCTTTGCGAAGAAGTTCGCGTGTGGCTGTGGCGTGGTGAAGTCTACCGGTAGTAGTGAAGCTATCGAGATACAAGGTGACGTCGAGGAAGATCTGTTCGATTACATTCTCGATACATGGGGCGATAAGATTCCTGACGATGCTATCACTTTTGGCAACGAGTCTACCAAGAAGGGCCGGAGCCGGAAGGGTGGTAATCGTGGTCGCAAGGGTGCCACTATGAAGAGGTCTGGCGCCGCTCTAGCCGACTAAGGGTGATATTGTCGCCCACTACGATGGCGGCCGTAGCAGGTCTGGTCGACGGAGGTGACTGTTGACTTCCGTACCCATTTTCTTCTAGCTCCCACCTGTAGTGGGTGTGATGATATCATTTCCAAATTTACTATGGTGTTATGTTCATATAGTATTGGACCTCTCATCGTAAGCGCATAGAGAAGAATGCGAGTTATGTGGATGGGGTCTATTAGGAAGTATGTATACAACTTTTCCAAGGGTGATCCCAGATAGCTTGGGATTACTATAACTACTGTATTATAATAGTAGTATCCACTATTATGCTACCACAGAGGGATCGCTCTAGTTCCAAGGATGCGGTTTCGATAGGGATGGTTCTATGGGGACTAAATCGAGATTCGTCGAGAATTCCAAAAATACAGCATGCTAGCCGTACAGCAGATACCTGGTAGAAGTGTCGCTACCTCAGTGCCTGTAGCATCAGAGTAACTGCCCACTTACTCTACTACTAGAGCAGATGAATCACGAGCCTACCAACCCCAACTCCTGAGTAACAAACAAAACCCGGCATCTACTTAATCTGCAACCACTGTCGAGTGACCAGACAGCAACAGAATCGAAAGGCAGTAAGTAATATATACAGTGAAATTGTACATCAAGGTGGAGTCCATACCACTCCTCCTTCACATCCCAGCCATATGTATCACCAGTGTTATGTTACACTTAGTTGAGCTCGTTGCGGCCTCATGTCGAATGACCCAACGATGAATTCTCAGTCTGACGTGACCAGTCGGTAAAACCTTCATTTTCCAGGTTCCAAACAGCGCCTCTTCGCTGGGGAGTCATCACCCACAGGTAAACCCCGTTTGTGACAGACCGTACTATTGTCAGTGTCGGCATCAGCATCTTCTCCAACAGATGGTGGGGTGAGCTCCCGTTCCTCAGTGCTGACCTCGCTCAATCCACCGGTATCCTCTCGAGGCGTGCCCTCTTGAAAATGAATCTGCAATCCTGGATAGTTAACATGAAGCCAATTGCCGTTCACTTTGACAAGCATGGCCTGCTCGTTCACCGACTGTATCTGCAGTCCCGCTTTACCGTCAACGGTAGCCGTCACAAAGCCCGTGGACCCCTCGTTCACCCCTTCAGGACTCGACCCGCATTGCCGCAATCGCCTCTGCTGTTGCTGCTCTTTCTTTTGATGCCGCACAACTCTGTCCACTCTCTCCAACTTCGCTCGGAGCTCCTGGATGCTCGGCCGTTGATCCAGATGATCTTGAAGATTCAACTCCATCAGCTTGGCTCCAGTGCAAAGCGTCACTCGCCCTCGAATGTGCCGCTCGGGCAGGGTCATATCTCGCTTATGGACGAAGCCATGTTTCTCATACCAGCTGATAGCATTCTCACTGGCGTAGGTGATCACATAGTGAACCCCGCTAGAAGCCAATAGTGCAAGCCAGCGCTTGAGCAACCATGAACCAAGACCCTGGCGCTGCCGTGTGAAGTCTACGCTGAAGAAATGAAGCTCACTGAAGCCGAGCTGAAGATCCAAGTGATGACAGAGAGCTGCTAGCGCTTGGTCAGGCTCGTCCAGGGTGATGAGTGCGTGCATCCGGCTCCGTGCTGATCGACACATTCGGGGTATATACCCTCGATCAAACTCAGGCAAGGTTCTGCCGAAGACTGCAAGACATGACTCCACCAAAGCCGGCGTCATCATGCACTCACTCCGTTCCTTGTCACCACTCGGAAGAGTCTCTACAGCCCCCATAGAAGCAAAGTCAGATAGCGGCGACTCAGCAATGGACTCTGGAGGAGGTTCAGTCATACTGCCGACAATCCGAAGCCTCGACCGATCCAAAACACCGTGTTTTCGTATCCGCTTATGGTGGAACAGGACGTCGATCGTTTCATCGTATAGACCCTTAGTGTCGCCCATGTACCGCACCGTCAACAGCGTGCCTCGCACCTCGTACACCGAGGCTTCAAACACTCCTCGCATATCTCCACCGAAGCGCTCATCGTGGAGTATTTTCACCAAATCTCCAACTCGGTAAGTGGTGCTCAACTTCTCATTCTCCTCGACAACAGACGAATGCAGGTTCCGTGCCACTGCCAACGCCGTGCTACTCACGGAGTGAGCATGAGCACAACATGCGGAATCGACTTTCCGAACTACATTCTCTTCCTGATTGGTCGTAGTACTCCCCGTCGGCTCCATCTTTATATTCTCGCTCTCACCGGAGTGCTCTGCTACCCAAGTCGGCCTAAGCGTATTAGCCGCTCCTGCCACCGAGTACGGCGGTCCAGTGCTTGGTCGGATGGTCGCATGGGAGTTCCATAACCGCTCTTGCTGACTAGCTCGGATCAACGCCGCTTGCGCTCGCGTATATACCGGCGGAGAGGACTTCCCATTCGGTAGCGGGATGCTCACCGCGCCACTACCGTCAGAAGTCTCGTTACCGATCGAACCAGAAGTCGAGTTTTCAGACGTTGTGGTGGAATTCACCTCAGCTACCTTCCCCCCCTCAGCGACGACCTTCCCCGTCGCCCGACTCTGCTTCTCTACTATCTGTGCCGCCAACAATACGGCATTGCGAAACTGCTCCTGGTTGTATTGATGCCCAGGTAGGAGATAGTACTTCGCCATTGCCGCCGCATTCACAGAGACCTTGTTCGTAGAGTTCATACCAACTTTCGCCTTATCACCCGAGGGAGCTCCACTCCCTAATGTCGACCTATTGTTGCTTGAGCGCTCATCCATACCATCATTCTCCGACTTCACCGCTTCGCTGCTCTGAGGAGTCCCTAATCCTTCCGGCTTCATTACACCGTGTTGCTCACTACCATTATCCTTCTGCGTGGCTGGATGGGTATTCACCCGTGTAGAAGGCGGTGATGCCTGTGACATGGATCTAGCTTCCTCCCTGAGAAAAGTCGTCGAGGAAACAAAGATACTTCCGAGAGAAACCGTCATACAGAGCACAGGATACCCAGCTACAAACACGATGCAGTTCGTTATTAGAGACAACATACTCTATGCGGCTTCCGTCCCTGGACGGACTCTCCAATGACCCCAGGTGCTCTAAAGTCTGTTGCTTGCCCGTTCAAGCTCAGAAAGCAGGAAGTAGTAGTATTCCATTATCGATTCGCCGTAGCTGCACTACGACTACAGAGGACAGTTCCGAAAGACCCATTCCCCAGCAGCCGATGGGCAGCATGAGAGAGAAAGGCCGTGGTGAAGAACATGAAACTACGATGCACCACCCGAGCTAATCGCTCCTGATACTCACAAGCCTCGCCCCAAACTCAAATAGGGTATTCAGGATTGAAAGATGTCATCCAACGTAAACTATACTCGCAGCCGACATTCCCCTCGGTCTTAGAACTTAATCTTCTTATGCTTTTTCCTCTGCCTCTTCTCAGCCTGCCCGGGCGCAGTCTGCGGCGTAGACAGAGTCGGAGTAGGCGCCATCGATGAGGATCCTTCTGTAGTCTGAGCAAATTCAACACAATATTATTCTTGGCACTTCTATAACAGCCGAGCATCCTAATACCTTGTAGCCAGCTGCTGCCATTGCTGCTTTCTCTCTGTCCTCGTAAGACATCAATTGCTTCCTAATGAAGTCCGCGGACAGAGTTTGATCGTCCGCTTCCATCTCGCTCGGATTGATAGCCATGGTTGTGCCACCACCTGGTGTAGCGGTACCACCTACCACAACAAGGCACTGTTCACACATGACGAACAAAGCTAGCGTTCCATAATGCCTTACTACCCAGTGGAGTGGTGGCTGCGGCGACGTTGTACACATGCGAGCTTGGGAACAGCGCTGAGGCTTGGGTAGGAATATTCTTCTGGGGAAGAACCTGAAATACAGAGCGCTGAGAAACTGCAGCACACCGCAGACATAGAAGGATACACTTGCCGTTGTCAAACCCAACGATAGTTCTTCTCGAAGTCTGGTTACCTTATAAAGCTGATGGGTAGGAGTAGCAGTAGCGCTCGCCACGGACTGGATTCCTCCACGGATATCCACTTGGCCGGGGGTGCCGATACCAGAAGTGATAGAAGTGATACCACCGACGGACGTGACACCAGAGGTGTCCAGATTGACCAACGGCGTCTGCGTTCCGAGAGGCGTCTCCAAACCACCACGGAGAATCGGCGTCTGAGTACCGCCTCCTGAAGAACAAACAATAGCAATCAAGCTACACATATCATCACAGTCAAGGGAATAGAACTATAGCCAATATGAGAGTTCCACGAGTGTGAACGACCGAGCTACTCAGAATTGCAGCAGCAGCGACAAGGAGAGCAACGATCCCGAGCCAGACAGAACATAAGCCCAACGCGAACCTTCTTTCCTGGTAGGTCTGCCGCTTTCCTCCTCGTCTACATCCATAACCTCCTCGTCCTCAGATTCGTCAGAGCCAGCATCGGATGCTTCAGACAGGAACTCGCCCCAAAGATAATCCTTTTCATCTGACGAAGAAACTTGATTTACAATGGTACACATCTATCACTCATCGTTGAAAGTTGCCAGCAAAAAAGTTTTTTTCGGTCGAAAATATTTTTTCAAGTGAGGAGGTGGCAAATACTTCTAATAGAGAAACTCACAGTTCCTCTCATGATCAATCGTCAGGAGAGTGTCGGAGCTGTGAGACTACCGACATGAGTCAGATGAGCTTGAACAACGCGAATTCTCCTAAACATTACCATGACCAGGATCCACTTCAGTGTCTCCTTTGATCCTATCCGTTTCAATATTCCAGTTACCGTAGAGTGGATTGCCGTATTCATCAACAGGCGGACGTCCCCAACCTGACAGGAAAGCACTGGCAAAAAGATAGGATCTTCCCGCGCAAGTTCGATAGTTGCTGACACGCTCGTACTCGAGAGCATGCATAGCACATCTAAACGCTGATATTTCGAGATTGCATAAAACAACTAACAGGGGTTGAAAATTCTCAGAGACTTCGACTATTCCACTACTCCATGACGCATATCTTCATGTAACCTTCCCTCACCTCCTGGATGATAGCCCCAGTCTCCCCCAGCGGGTATAGGAGCATTCAAACCAGGGACTCTAAGGCCTGGATAACTCGGTGGTGGTCCATAACGCTGCATATTGAATAACCATGGCGGCGGACCACCCTCCTGAATTAGAAGGAAACTTCGCCACGAGCACGCCAGAACTAGAATCAAATGCCTACCTCCATTCCGAGTGCCTCCCTCAAAGGCTCCGATACCTTGCCGGGTTTCTTATTGATCATCCGAGATTCATACTCACGTCCTTCGTAATACCTGTCCATAACGTTAGCAAGCAAACACAGATGCGTTTCGGTACTCTACTTACATATCTCCGTGTTTGGTGAGATAAGGGCAAGGCGTGGCGTATCTGATTATCACAAAGTCCGTACTATTGACACCATCGTGTTCTGCTGGAGGAAAGAGAGGGTAGCAAATCAATGAGTGTGGTAACGTGACTCAATCACGGAAAGTGTATGACAAATCTAAGAATTCAATTCAACTCCTAACATCTTGAGAACAGCTGCTCCCATTGAAAGTTTTAAAAGTCCAAATCCGATTCGGAGTTTCGAACTCGACCACGCCCTTCTCGAGCGCCCCCCCCCCCTTCTTCCCACGGGACACTACTTGAAGAAAGCATCGTGCAACACGTTGTAATCAATGTCCAACTTGCCAACTTTGGGACGAATCTTCTCTCGTGACTTCGATTTCAGCGTCTTCTCTTCTTCGGCCTCCAGAATTGATTGTCGGATCTACACAAGAGATAGTCCCCTCCCGACGCTCGTGTGACTGATAGCCTCGTACTACCTTAGCAATACCAGTTTGCTCGATGTAAGGCGGCAATTTATATCGTGGCTTCTCGCTTCCCCTCTTGCACGCCATGTAGCGTCGCTTGCTGTTCCAATGCCTGAATGACCATGTTGCCGTAAACACGGCGCATCGGGACTCACCTGGGCACCGGTACAGTGTTGCGAGTACTCTTGATATGTACCAAAAAGAACGGGTCACTACCCGAGTTATCCCACGACTCAACCACCTAAAAGAAGAGAGTTCATTCATGGTAAAAGTGATCGAGTTTACATCTGGTCTAGTGACTAATTCCTTGAGCTTAACCAAAGGGATCCTGGAGGCATCGCGGATCTGCTTGCTGGTCCAGTGAGGCTGACCATTCTTATCGACATGACCGTATCCCAAGCTGTCCATCCGTCGACCCTGGGAAAGCCAATAATTATAACGAGAACACTGGGTACTACCTCCTCTTGGAATTTCTGCAAGGCGGTCAGACCCCCGTCTTTTTGCTCGTCTTCATTAGACTCCTCTTCCTCGTCTTCACCCACAGTGGGCTGCAACTTCTCGTACCTAGGATAAGCCGTTAGCACCTACCAAGCCGAGTCCACATGCAGTACGCAGCCTTGAACTCCTCAGGTAGAGTATGAACAGTATACTCAATATCAACCTGGTCCTCATCAATTGTATCAGATGGAGTCATCTTGTCTTTCTCCTTATTTTTGTCCTCGACAGCTTTTTCCTGAGTGTACGAGTCGTCAAGATGCGGTACATCAAGCCTCATTTCCGTGAGCTCCTTGGTCCTATCCCCAACCCAATTATCAGTCTAGATACTCTCGACGACGAAAGATCGGCGAAACCTCTCCAAAAACTTGATTTCCACAGAGTGTTCTCCCTAGTTCCACATGAAAATGGGAAAATTCAATGCAGCATTTCGTCCGATATAACCTCTCTTCTTCTTTTTCGAGCATCCTTTCTCTTAAGAGCTCTCTTCACTCGAGCACGCTCCTCCCGCTGCGCTGCAGTGAGTGCCACCATTGAAGAGATGAGGTACTACACTGATGAGAAAATTATAAGTTCCTTGTTTCCGTCAAGTATGCAAAAATTAATCAAATCGATCATACGGGCGAGCGCTAAATTTGCGAGATTTAAGTTTTGAATCCAGCTTGCTCTTTCGCACATTCGAGCGGAATTTGAACTAAAGAGAAGTTGTTTTTATGGATAAGAACGGCCGATGGGATCAGAAGGACCAGTGGACACGGGTGACCGTCGGCAGTTGGTCGTGATGTGCCGACGTGTTTTAGTTGTGACAATTAGACTTCACAGGGTTGGCAATGATACCCGCTTCGTTGGGGGTTCCATCTGTATGCACCTCAAACCCTTTACTTGGAAGTGACGGCTTCACGAAAAGTGTTCACGCATTTGAACCACAACTCATCGATCGTTCGCGGAAAGATATCTTTTCGAAATTTCCTAGCGACAATTGTGTTGGCCGGGACGAAGTATCATCTGTCCTTCTTTGGTCATATCGGGAGCTCTGGCTAGGGTGTTGCGGTCTAGGTGGTTTACGTGGTTCGTCAGAGAGCGTAGGTCTTTCCTCATACCGCAATGGATCGCATTGATGTTTTCAGTGTTCCTTTTGCACCTTGTAAAATGGCAGCAACCAACCCGGTTGGTGATGGTGCTTCCATGGACTCCTCATCAACAGCGCAGAGTGGCGTTCTCACTCTTAGGAATATTGCTAGCGGCGCAGCTCTCGCTGTCGTCAGTGGTGCTCTTGCCTATAGTATAGCTCTCAAGAGAGGTAATTCTGCGGACTCTACAGCGCACCGAGAGGCCAAGCTCGGCCCACCTGTACCGCGGCAGTCGCATGAAGATCCTGAGGTCCTAAAGGCCTTGGCAGCTACACGAACGAGCCACATGAAAGCTTACGATGGTGCTACTGCTGCTTCCTATGTGGCATATCATTTGTCCGACTCCGTCTTCATCTACCCCATCACTCCCTCCACTCCTCTCGGCGAGAATTGCGATCAGTGGTCCGCGGCTGGTGAGATTAATGCTTACGGTCAAGTTACTGTAGTAAAGCAGATGCAGAGTGAAGCGGGTGTTGCAGGCGCTTTGCATGGCTCTTTGGCAGCAGGTGGTCTGTCCTCCACCTTCACTGCCTCCCAGGGTCTTCTCTTGATGATACCCAACATGTACAAGATCGCTGGTGAGCTCCTTCCTTGTGTATTTCATGTGCCGGCAAGAGCGATAGCTGGCCAGGCTCTCTCCATCTTTGGCGACCATTCCGATATCATGGCTGTTCGCCAGACCGGTTGGGCTATCCTCTGTGCTAGTACCGTGCAGGAGTGCATGGACATGTCGTTAGCGGCTCACATTGCTACGCTCAAGTCTAGGGTTCCGTTCGTTCACTTTTTTGACGGATTCCGTACTTCCCATGAAATTCAGAAGATCAACGACATGACTACTGAGCAAATGGAGTTGGTCGCGAAGATAATGACTAAGGAGATTGATGCTCACAGGGAGCGGGCGCTCAACCCCAACCACCCAACGGTGCGAGGCACTGCTCAGTCGCCTGACATTTACTTCCAGAATGTCGAAGCGGCTAATCCTTACTACAACGCTGTTCCAGAGCACGTCCTGAACTCTCTCGAGATGGTGGAAGCTGTTACTGGTCGCCATTACGATCTCTTCGACTATGAGGGAGATCCAGAGGCTACACACGTGTTCGTGATCATGGGAGCTGGTGGTTGTACTGTGTCGGAAACTATAGCTTACCTGAAGACCCACGAGCCTCGGTATAAGCTGGGTTTGCTTCGTGTAAGGCTACTGAGACCTTGGTCTGTCTCTCACTTCCTAGCGGCTCTTCCCGCTACTGTTAAACGCATTTGCGTATTTGACCATTGTAAAGAATCTGGGGCTATCGGCGAGCCTCTGTATGTCGACGTCTGTGCAAGCATTCAGAAGTCCAAGAGGTCCGATATTCTCGTAAGCGCGCTGAATGACCGTGTTCCGGACTCGGACTTTCTGCCGTTCTTTTTCAGGTCATTGGTGGTCGTTTCGGTCTCGCCTCCAAGAATTTTTCACCCGGCCAGGTTTATGCCGCTGTTCAGAACCTCGTTGATACGAAGGTTCCGAAGTCTCCCTTCACCGTTGGCATCGACGATGATGTCACTAACTTGTCTCTAGCTGTTCCTTATGAAATTGATGTGGCTAACCCCGCCACTACCCAGTGTATGTTCTGGGGTTTTGGTTCTGATGGTACTGTAGGAGCCAATAAGAATGCTATCAAGATCATAGCTGATAACACTGATCTCTACGCACAGGGTTTCTTTCTGTATGATGCTTTGAAGTCTGGTGGTGTTACGTTGTCTCACTTGAGGTTCGGTCCTCTGCCGATCGACTCACCCTACGAGATCACGAGTGGTTGCGAGTATGTGGCGGTTCACAAGAAGGAGTATGTTAACACCTTTGATGCCTCGTTAATCTTGGGCGCCAGCAAGTGTGGAAGTATTATCGTCCTCAATGCTCCTTGGTTGACTCTGGACGATATGGAGGCTAATTTGCCACCAAAGTTCAAGCGTCTAGTGGCTGACAAGCGGCTGAAGTTATATGTCATCGATGCCAACAAGGTTGCTAAAGAGTCCGGCATGGGTCGCTTGATCAACAACATCATGCAAGCTGTGTTCTTCCGTCTTTCTGGTGCTCTTCCGTATGAGCAGGCGATGCCGCTCTTTGAGCATGCCATAGAGAAGACCTACAAGAACAAGGGTGCTGACGTTGTGAGGAAGAACCTGTTGGCTGTCAGTAACGCCATCGACAATCTTAACGAGATTGATGTTCCTTACACCAAGTGGGCTAAGTGTGAAATGAAGGATCACGAAGTCCTCCGTACTGGTGAGGAACCATCCTTCGTCCGCAGCGTGCTGGATAAGATCCATATGAGACTCGGTGATAGTTTGTCGGTCTCGGCATTCGCCCCTGGGGGAGTTGTGCCACTCGGTATGACCCAATGGGCGAAGCGGGGCGTGGCTCAGGCGATCCCCGTCGTTGATGTGGATAAGTGCACCCAGTGCAATAAATGCTCGGCTATCTGTCCTCATGGTGTCATCAGACCGTTCTTGGCATCCCCTCAGGAGCTTGCATCAGAGAAGACTCCTTTGACGTTTGTCACCAAGCCGGCCACTGGTGGTAACGAAGCGTCTGGGTTAGCCTTCCGCATTCAGGCATCCCCCCTAGACTGTACTGGATGTGAAGTCTGCGTGAACGCCTGCCCTGACAACGCTTTGACTATGAAGCCTCTACCTGATGCCATTGCGGAAGGTCATAAGGACAACTGGGACTTCGCGATGACTCTGGAGAATCGAGGAGATCGTTTCGATGCTCATACGTTGAGGGGGTCGCAGTTCCAACAACCTCTATTGGAGTTCTCTGGGGCCTGTGCAGGGTGTGGGGAGACCCCGTACGCCAAGCTATTGACCCAGATGTTCGGCAAGCGCATGCTCATTGCTAATGCTACTGGCTGCAGCTCTATATGGGGAGCAACTGCTGGGTGGGTCCCGTACACTGTCGACAAAAAGACTGGCAAGGGACCGGCTTGGGGCAACTCTCTGTTCGAGGACAACGCCGAGTACGGCATGGGTATAGCGGTGGCTCAGCAGCATAGGCGAGAGCAGTTGAGACTCAGGGTGCAGGAAGCATTAACTGATGAGAGCATTGTCAAGGGAGAGCTGAGGTTGGTTATGAACCAGTGGTATGAGAACTTCGACGATGCTGAGGCATCGTCTCGATTCGGTGAGAGGGTCGTGGAGCTACTGAACCGCGCCGCTGAAGAGAAGCCACTTCCTGAGTGTCTCGATGCATGCCGGCGACTATCTGATATGTTTGTCAAGAGCTCTGTATGGATTATGGGTGGTGATGGTTGGGCTAACGATATCGGATACGGGGGAATTGACCACGTCCTGGCACTCAATGAGAATGTTAACATAGTTGTGATGGATACTGAGGTCTACTCGAACACTGGTGGGCAAGGGTCGAAGGCAACGCCTATGGGAGCTGTGGCGAAGTTCATGCGGAATGGTAGGGACTTGCAGAAAAAGGATATCGGGCATTTGGCTATGTCATACCCGAACGTCTATGTTGCTTCGTGTTCGATGGGTGCCAACTACTCCCAGACTGTTAGGGCTTTCCACGAAGCTGAGAAGCATGTGGGTCCGTCGTTGGTTCTATGTTACTCTCCTTGCATCGAGCATCGCATCAAGGGCGGCATGACTCATATGTCACAGGATCAGAAGGCTGCTGCGGAGTCTGGTTACTATCCTTTGTACCGCTACGACCCTACTCTGATCGAGCAGGGTAAGAATCCCTTCCAGCTCGACTGCAAGAATATCAAGCCCGAGGCCTTGGACCCCTTCCTGAGGAATCAAAACCGCTACGAGCAGTTGGTGAGGCGTATGCCTGAGCATGCCGCAGAGCTCCAACGAGGTCTCAAGAAGTACATCACGGAACGCCATCAGCAGCTATTAGCAGCATCTGCGGAAGTTGTTCATGCCGCGGATGATCTTAGTGCTGGTCTCGGCGCTGGAGTGCGGGTATATTATGCTTCGGATACTGGTACAACTGAGCAACTGGCTAAGAGACTCTCTGGTATTCTGAAGCGCCGTGGTGTCGTAGTCAAGGCTTGTGCGAGCATGGACGAGCTCAATCTCGCAGACTCGGCTGACAGTGACGATCTTCTGGTTCTTATGACTTCGACTTGTGGTGATGGTGATATGCCTTCTGCGGCGACTGCTCTTTGGGAGGATATGCTGCAAATGGATGGTTCCCAGAAGCTTGCAGGTCGCTTCTGCGTGTTCGGCCTCGGGGATAGCTCTTACGATAAATTTTGTGCAGCTGCGGTGAAACTTGAAGCAAGGGTGGCTGAACTCGGCATGAGCTCCGTCATTCCGTTGGCGAAGGGAGATGATCGTGCCGAAGATGGATGGGCTACTGCCTTCGATGAATGGCTGCCGAAGTTGTGTGAAGAGGTTGGTGCGAAGCCTGAAGACGAGGAGGAACCTGAGGCGCTCTTCGAGGTTACGTCCTTACCTGTCACTGCTGCTGACAAGAGCCTTCCCTACCAGCGCATTGTGCCTCCAGGATCTCAGGCCGTACCGGTTCTAGAGAACAGACGCTTGACTCCGGAATCGTATGAGAGGGATATCCGTCACATCGCTCTGGACATCTCGGCTGCTGATTTGCCCTTCCGTCTCGGTGATGCCATTACCCTTTACCCGAAGAACTTGGAGTCGGACGTCGACCTACTGTTCAACGAAATCGTCACTCATCTCGATCGCAACGAGATCCTCTCTGTTAAGTGTCTGTCCGATGACGTTCCTGCCAGGCTCAGGTCGGCTTTTAAGTCACGAATTCCTATGAAGCAAATCTTCGTAGAGTTGTTGGATATCTTCGGCAAGCCTACTAGGAGTTTCTATCGCCAGCTGGCTCGTATTAGCAAGAGCGATGAGGAGGTTCAGGTTCTCAACTCTATCGCGAACTCGGACGATAGTTTCAAGGAACTATTGGGCAGGAGTGTGTCCTATGCGGATGTGCTTCGCAGATTCCCGAAGTCAACTGAGTCGATGACACTGGTTAACTTCCTTGAGATCATCCCTTTGTTGAAGCCTCGACTTTACTCTATAGCCAACAGCTCTTTCTACACTCCGAACAAGGTCGAGCTGACTGTTGTTATCAACCGGTGGCAGAATTCCGAGGGTGATCTCAAGACGGGCACATGTACACGCTACCTAGGGTTCAGCAACGACAAGACCATGTGCGTTTCCGTTGCTAGTGGTACATTTACTTTCCCTGAGGACGAACGTACACCGATGGTCATGGCAGGGCTTGGTACTGGTATCGCTCCTATGCGAGCCTTCGTCCAGGATCGCATGTACAAGAAGCAGGTCCTTGGGATCGAAACTGGCCCGATGGTGGTATTCTATGGCTGCCGTCACGAGAAGGAAGAATTCCTCTATCGCGAGGAATGGAAGAAGTTTGAGGAAGCTGGTGTGCTAACAAAGATGGTCAATGCGTTCTCGCATGATCAAGATCATATGATATTCGTGCAGCACAAGATTGCTGAGAATCCCGAGCTTATCTACAAGTACATGTGCGAGCAAGAGGGGTACTTCTACTTCTGTGGCCCTGCCATTGCAGTCGCTGATGTCGAGTCTGCCGTGAAAGGTGCTGTAGAGGAGGTCGGTAAGAAGTCGAAGGATTCGGTCGAGAAATGGTTTGACGAGGATATCAAGGCTAAGAAACGCTACTCTACTGAAGCTTATTAAATACTGTACTTTCGCGGAATGTTGTAAATAATGTTCGTGTTCCTTTGCATCGTTTCTCTATCCGTGGTATTGTGCTCAAGTGTTACCATGTTTTGGATTCGGGCCGTTTTCAGGCGGAATCAACTCGAATTCTTCAGCACGAATACGAGTATCTCCTTGCGTAAATAGTTGTAGAATATTACGAGATGCTGTGGTGGTAAGTGACCATAGTAAATTGATCATTTCAACTGTCAAGCCCATGAGACTTTGCAAGTTACCAAGCATGTAGCATGTGGTATGTCATGATCTCGAATAGTAGCTCAACGGTTTGTGAACGACCTCATTTCTATCGTGCGCATATCTGCACCAGGACTGGAGCAACCTCGCACGGAATTCGGAACATAGTGTTGAGGAGCACGATAAACGAATTTCATCAGGTATGATCTATCATCACTGACGCGGGTTGTACTAAACTACGACTGCCATAGTCGTTACATTTGTAACGACGCGAGGACGTATCGCATAATTCACCTGGGGTGAACATTTCAAGTCTACCAATCCCATCGAACATAACGAACATCGCGCGTACTCAGACACATGAAGAATACGACTATTACAACCGCATCATAAATCATTCTATGAGGCTGATGACCGTTGTGTAGACTAACGGAATAATCCCTTACAATCATGACTGCACTACAACACAACAAAATAACATTTCTCTGCCCTCCGGTCTCCCATATCAATAGAAACAACAGGGAAGTGATATCGCACAATGCAACGACACAAACCAGCTGTTCCCACCGTTGGTGCCGTTCAACCTCTCCTCCGAAGGAAAGCAATTTAGGCAGCGACGGCGTACTTCCTCATGGGGAAGTTGGCCTTGCGGGTCTGCTCCTTAGCGGTCTTCTTGTTGTACTGGGCAGGGGTAAGAGCACGACGCTTAGCACGGGTGAGCTTGGAGCGGAGATCCAAGGGCACGTACTTCTTACCAGCGAAGGAAGCGCGAGCCTGAACACACCAAGATTGGACCGAGCGAACTTCACAATGCGAAACGTCAATCGCAACCGCGTGACCCCGCACTTACAGCATCCTTCCTGGCCTGGTTGTAGACAGTCAAGGTACGGGCGATGTTCTTACGAACAGTCTGAGAACGATCACATGAGACACTATCTAGATAGCTTCTATAAAGATCGAGAAACGGACGTAACCACGATATTTCTTGTAAATCCAAGAATTAGTACCCTGATCTCAGCAACCTTGCCGGCAGTGCTGGAAAGAGCCTTGGAGACCCTCAAAGAGACGAGCTTCTGCTTGAGCTCGTCGAGATCAGTGAGAAGCTCCTTCTCGGACTTGCTTCGGATTTGATAAGCCTTTACCTTCATTGCTAGGGGAGAAGTGGGTAGAAGCAGGGACGCGAGAAGGTCGATACCGCCTGCGCTCAAAAGCTACAGATAATCGATCATTATGGCGAGCGCTATCTCGCACGACCAATCACTCCGCTGTCGAGTCATCGGTCCTAACGGGATAATTCTAGGGTTCGTTTTATGACCGGATTCGACCGCATGACAAAGCTCGATATCAGCGAGCTCGATACGGACCAATCTATGCAAAAGGGTGGTCAAGAGGTAAGGGATAACGTATTCGTGGGAAGCCGCGAAAACTTGTGCAGGACATCTTTGACGGCCCCCTGAAGGAGCGAAGATGTACTGACGAGCTGATGTACATTCTATTTTCAGCGTATCTAGCTCTGTGAGGGTCGCATATACTCGGGTTCGGACGAGCTGTGACGGCTCAGCTGTCCCGGTCTAGGTTCGTTGTAGTACTTGGGTCCGCGATAAAGGGAAATGGTGGCCGGAACAGACTAGCTGCCGGACGAGATTGGCAGGTCGAGCTTCGGGGATTTCGGGGTAAAGGACTGACGAAAACACGAGTCTTCGAACTGAATAGATCATACTGGGTGTGAGCGGGATTGGTCCAGGCGAGCGGAGACAGTTGTGGAAATTATGGTGATGATTTACTGAATGACCACACACGTGATCAGCGACCTTGCCACGCTTCCTTCGGGATCCACTGAAAGCGATTCTATACCAGAGATCTACGGGATACTTTGTACCTATTTGTATGAAGTTATGCTCCCAGGAGGATACAATACTCGATCGTAATAAGCGTCTCTCAAGACATTACCCTATGTTAGGGTCCCTAACCGTCGTGGCTAGGTGATTACTTCGGGGAATGGCCGACAACTCGACCGGTCCATCATTCCGGTTTCGGGTTTCTTAAAAGAACTTCTTCTCTGGAGGATGGAAGTCGTGAACCTGTCCAGTACTGGTAGGCCTGCAGTTCTAGCGTTAGGCACATCGATTCTATGTGCGTTCGCACCTGGCATGTTGCATCCGCTCTCTACTTCATTCTAACATAAATGAGTCTGGCACCATCTGGATGGACACTCATGTATTTCAGGCAGAAATTGTCAGCGAAGAACACGTCCACGATGAAAGCATTCTCAGAGATTCCTGCGCGGATGATTCTGAGTACTGCGTCCCTCTTCCAGGAGTAGAAGTGACATCAGAGGTGAAGAAACGTGTAGGTTGGCTAAGTTAAACTATCTAGAAAAGATGAACGTCATGGTATCGTATACCTGAAAAAAGATTTCCGAATGTCAATAGATTTCCACGGCCGAGAATTGAACTCGGGTCTCCTGCGTGACAGGCAGGAATACTAACCTCTATACTACCGCGGAATTGATGCTAACTGTCGTATTCACAGTTGTATCGGGAGATGTTCTCAACTATCTCCAACCTCCACATCAATCCGACTTGTTCGTAAGGTTCCCAGAATGCAAGCCATCGATATCGCTTAGTCCCGGAGAAGTTCACGGACGCTCTCGGTAATGTTATATACCTGTTTTGCAGTCTTTGTGAGCATGCTGCAGTAGGCAAAGGATTTCTCCATCTTCGTCAGGTAGTGGCTCAGATGACGTTGTTGGGGATATAGTCACGGCACATTCAGCTATCATCATTACTGCTGCTTGCTCGCTCTCCATTGGCTTGGAATGGCGCACATACTGTTATGCGTAGAGATTCATATATCCCTCGACCGGGAATCTCAGATATATCCGGCTCTCCTCTTATGTTCGTTGGCGTCGTAGTCTGGTTGTCTATCATATCTTTCTTCTCGACACAGGAGGAGGAGGAGCTCCTGTGAGTCCGTGGAAACATCCCAGTGAAGGTTTCAATGGACTAGATCTCGATCACTATTACATTGATCTCGACAGAAGTTGAGACTTACATCATCCCTTGGCTGCGATCACAGAGTCACTCATCGGTCTCAAACAGTAGCGGAAAAGTATGCAGTTTCACCTGTCAAGCCGTAGTTGTCGCAACACTCCCGGAACCGAAGAGTCACCGTTCGATTAGCCTTTGATCCACCGCGCTTTCGGCCCTGAATAGTCATCGAACAGAAGCGAGGAATGCAAAGAGAGTGAATGACAGTACTTCAGAAAACAGCAACGCGGCAGACGCCATTCCAGGAGCACCAACGTCTTGTTGGATAGTCCCCAGAGTCCATCCTAATTCTATTGTCAGACTAGAAATAAAATTGTATTCAGACTGTCTGGGATGGCTCCAATCACGATCTGCTGGAGTCATATTCAACTTCAGCCATATAAGAATCTCCAGGTGAGATACTCCTCTGCCTCCCCTTGAGAGCGGCGCCAGCGCTGCGGTGGTCAATAAAAAGAGTGGAGAACCTCCTCCACCGTGTGAACACTCGTCAGTCGTGGACACTATCGACAGGTGACATCAACGAGCCGCACCACATTCCCGGCGAACACCAGCCGTGACGGGATCGAACCCGAGGTGGATAGCTCGAGAGATATAAGCCCATCAAAATAGATTGTGCGACACGACCCGATCAAGGGATCCTGCCTTATTTTTGAAAAATCCAGGGAAGGGGGGAGGGACAACAAAAAGTGATCAACAAAGAGAGCCACGCTTAAGTTGTTGGAAAAGCATTTCTCCATGCTAACAATGTGTATGAATTGGGTTCTGACCACAGACGAGCCAACATTGCTTCCACGAGCAGGTGTGTGGCCGTCAGTGACGACCCGTCACAATGCTCACAGGAATCATTGTTCGATGACCCAGGCAGGGACAGCCATAGAACTCATGAAGATGGATGTTGGTACATGTGGGTTTCTGCAAGAGCGGTGTTGGTACGCATTGTCGTCCCATGGTTAATGGTTCGCGCATATCGCGCCATCCAAGTGGTCTGTGTTCACGGGCGTGAATTGCTTGGCTGGCGTTCCGCGGGGAACATCTTATTAGTATTCTACCTATCGTTTCAAGTTGCGCGAATTCATATTACTTGCCGTCCACTCACAACTCGACCCGACACATTCCAAGAGAAGAATTAATGAAACGAATTTGGTTCATGCGCTATCATATCTCGTCCGCGGTTGTTTCTTCCTCCGCCCAGAGCCTCCCCTCGAATCTACAAGGACGATGCAGTTGAAGCGTAGCTTCAGCTTCGGCGTCTCTAATTCATTTACGATTGTTGCTAGTCATTAACCCATCAGAAGAGATGTGGATATCGTGACGATGTTCCATCACCTAGTCCACTCTTCTGATCTCGGCTGATACACAGTACGATCCGCCTCATAGAGAGTAACTCGTCCCTCTGCATCTCCGGCAAGGAGCAAACGTCCATCCGCACTCCACGCAAGCCGTTGAGGGGCCGATCCGGGAGTTCGAATGCTATGTATCTTCATAGTCAAAACAATGACGAGCTGATCTGTGAGGCATTCTTTACTGGCGATTCGATGTTAGAGTTGAGGTTGCAGATGTGAATAGCGTCAACGGTGGAGACCGCCAGGACCGCCGGATGATGAGGATGCCATCGGACGTCTGTCACAGTGTCCCTGAAACAGTGACGACTGAACGATTCAGGAGCTCCATCGCTAGCAGCACTTGAATGTGTCCACCGTTGCTGAAGCAGTAGCCGGCGGAGCCTCCGTAATCCCGAGTATGCTAGAGAGATCAGCTGCGCCGCTAGTCCTGTCTCGACTTGCAGCCTTGGTGTTCTCCTCCATCCCGGCCATATTCCACAATTTGGCCGTCCAATCTACTGATCCGGAAGCTAGAAGATCATCAAGACCTCGCCTCACTGCAAGAACAACAAGCTACGATGATACCAAACAATCATGGATATATTATGCACTCCAAATGCACGAAAAACTCAATTATACACACGCGGTCTCATTCGTTTTCCCATTATTATTCGAAGCTAGACGGTAATAATTTTCAGGATAGATAGCAGGATATTATCCCGAATAATGATGCATTCCCTAACTAACCGGTGCATAGCTTGGGATTGCATAACGACCTATGGTTGTATTATCCGTAACCGCCCTCCCCAGTGAGTAGGGACTATCACCTGTCGGTTTCTGCATGGCCCTGATGTCCCTGAGCGGATGAGGATCCAATGCAGTGATCATGCCTTCATGAGCGAGCAGACTAGCCCTAGTCGTTTGCCATGGATTGCTATTCCCTGTAGTGCTGTCCAGGCGCACCTGATCCTCGCAACTCTGCTCGCTCGTCGAAATAAGGCCCTTACCCTCACAATGTGACCGTCGTGGGTCCCCAGCGTGATAAGGTTAGCATCAGTCGCAGAAAAGGCAACAGCAGATATCGAATAACCTCTTTGATCACTGTCGCGCAGAAGGACCGAGTGATGGGGCTCGCTCTGGGAATAAACACATGAAGCGGGTCCACTCATCACCGCTACCAGCTGAGCCGTGCTCCACAGGCAGACCTTTCCTTCACGCGAAACTGTCGTCACATGATGCGCATTCCGTGTACCAACAATCTCTATGCCGCATATTGCTTGAGCATGCATGGGTGAAGCAAGTGACGGCGAGCCGTTGTAGGATTCGTGACCACCGCCGAGACCGCCGACTGCTGGTGACCACTGAACTGGTGAAAACTGAGGCGAAAACATTTCCAGGAACTACTTCTCAGAAGGGAATTCATGTGCCGCGAATCAAGGTCCTCTCAGGGTCCTCACTTAAGACCGAGATCATCGAATGCAATTAGCCCACTTTCGCAAAGTTTCACCCGTGGCTCGGTTAATGTGAGATCAATATATACGCCTCTCATCGTAACGAATCCAAGAGTTACGATGCATCTCCCACAGATTTGAGCAAACCAGCCATCCCTTACCTTGGCTCTTGTATCCCAAATTAATACGCAACCACTCGCGGATCCTCCCAGATAAATAGTCGGATTGAACTTGTCGCTCATAGCGGTCACAACAGCAGTATGACTTCGGAGCACGAATTCTGGACGTTTCTGCATTGCCACCGACCAGATACAGACCACAGGGTTCTAAAAGGAAAATACACATGGAGGAGCAGTGATCTCTTTACACACTGAGGATCCCGTGAACAATGTAGTATGGCTCTAATGACAATTGTCTAGCGTCTTACTCGTCCCTTGCGGAGAAATTATTCAATCAGAAATGCAGGCAATACGTAACAACTGTTCAAGCAACACAAGTACAGGTAGTCTCAAGCGTTAGAGTAGAGGAACTAGAGCGAATCAAACTCCCAAGTGCAATGCACTGGCTGGGACCTGGAGCGAGCGGAGGTTCAGGATAACGCGTCATAAACAGCGACACTCGATACGCTGAACGCTCGACCTCCCAGTTCGTTGTCGTGACCCACTTCCCGGGTTAGGATAGCTCCGCTGCCATGAACCTGCGCCACTGCTAGTTATGAAAAGCTCGGGAATGCCACTGTGCCACCGGACATCTGTGATCTCACCGAGACGTCCTTCCTCGCCAAATCGAGCGAACCTAGGAGCATTGGGTGAATCATCCAACAGAATAAGAAGAGCTATTTTAGGTCGATGTAGGTAAAAACAGCAATGGACTGAGCTTATTATAAGCTACGAACAGCTGCCAGCAATATATCAAATGATACTGTGTTAGACCTTGAAACATGCACCCGAGCCATTCTCACACTCGGTCCGTTGATCTCAGTGGCACGGACTCTCCGGCACCTCCTACTGACTTTCCGACGCGCTCCTCTGTAGCGTAGTCTATGAATGGATCTATGTCCACCAACCCCTAAGAATGCAACAGATTGCGATACCAGCAACGCGCCACGCAGTTCAAGTAGAGGCTCATAGTGTCAGACAAGCTCAGAGACACGTTTCCGAAACTATGCCCTACCGGTAGGTCGGAAATGCCTATGGCTTTCTCAACAATTTTGCTCGCGCGCTGAAGGAACTCTTCAAAATCTCGCTGTTTGCAAATATTCTCTTTCTCTTCTTCGGTGAGACTGACGACGTCGTTTCGAGCAGGAGTGCTACCATCGTAGTTTTCCTGATTAGCGGCCTGAATATCACCACAGACGATATTCAAGAACGATGAACTTTCCGATTATTTGCGCCCAAACTCACCCTCGCAGCTGCTCTCATCTTGTCCAGTGCGCTCGAGCCCCGCCTCGGGAATATCGGGTTACGGGCTGAAGATCGTCGTCTCCGCGACCACGATTTCACTGGAGGCGATTCACGCTGGACGACACATTCCAACTCAGCCGCTGGGATCTCTAAAATGAGGAACCAGTGGCGATCACTCTGAGCCATTATAAGTGCCACCTTGCTCAGTATTATCGCGTAAACGTTCGCACTGCGTAGCCTTCTCATAGCTATCACCCATCGCCATACTCTTCTGAGCCGATAGGCTCTCCTCTGGAGTTGCCATACCCTTTCCCGAATCGATGCGAACCACCGATTGTGAAGTTACTACGGGCATCGATCGAGTCGACCATACTTGAACCAAATGCTCACCCGTTTCCAACTTAGGTTTGCGAAATAGGAGCGCTTTAACCCTAGCCGTTCCATCCTCAGTTGTTGTTGTACCTTGCTACATCAGATGCTAGTTACACGGCATTGAAGCGGTGGTTATCACTTCCCTTCTCCGTAGGGGGATCGAAATTTTCGAGATTGGCGAGCTGCTCATCAATGGTTAACGTCTCTTTCAGAATCTGAACCCGGAAGTGCGGACGGGGAGGACAATCAGGACTACCTCTTGGATCTGTCGATTGATGTTGTTCGCAGAGGCGTTTTCACTTTCTGAAAGAGTCTTTGACCTGAGTTGGAAGACCCTCATCCTCAATGATACATCTGTGGTCACCCACCCCATCCGGCTGGCCCTGAACTTCCTCAGTTCCTCGACTCTCGTCCGTAAAGTCTCGACCGTTCTCCAATCTATACTAGCAGCGTTCTTTGAAGTTAATTTATCCATCCTGGGTTTGATTGATCACTCCGAAGAACTCCCGCAGTCGTCCCACTCAACCAGATGATTATAAGTTACAACGCAAGAATGGCAGTAGAAACAACAGGCCGAACTGGGTCCGCCCTGAACAATTAGAGGTTCGCTTGCATCTTCTGCAACACCTGTATCACAAATTCATACCCATACCGCCCAGAGGCTTCACATCCCTCAGTACTTGCTTGGCTTCCTCAGGAGTAATCATCTCCTTTGCACTAGCAGGGAACTTGATGCCCAGCGTGTCATTAGTGTAGCGAGGGATCACATGGACATGAACATGAGGAACCTGAATTTGCAGCAACCGTGAAGATCCTGTGGAATCAAATATGAGAACTCACCTCCTGCCCAGCGCATTTTTCATTGTTCTGACAGATGTTGAGACCGTCAGCACCAGTAGCTGAGAACAATCATTCGAGACCAAACTCCTCCTCCCCGATTCCCCATTACCCAGTTTCACGGCTCTCGCGAGTTTGGGAAGATCGGCAAGGAAAGCCGCAGCGACCTCAGAGGGCATGGCGTCCATCGTAGCATATCTACGATGTAGACACTCCCCGGAGAATGAGTTGAGCGCACAGTACCCTTCCACCTTCGGCAGTAGCAAAGCGTGCCCCTCAGTCACAGGGAACGCATCCAGTATTGCGAGTGAATGCTCGGTCTCAAAAATCTTATGACACGGTATCTGGAGTAACCGAGACGGTGTTAAAGGATCGAAACAGAGGACAGAAGACGCACTACCTCTCCTCGGATAATCTTGGCGAAAATGTTGTTGTGGTCGTACGCGGCTCCTGACATCTTTACGAAGAATCAATTGGAAATAACTGAGAATACTCAAGCAAAGGTTACACGAGTTGAGGAAGCGGGAGCGGAACAACATAGCGTAAGTAGTATAGTGACACACAATTCCACGAGCACTACATGTACGATGCGGGACCCGGGCGGACTAGCCATTCAGCCCATCCTTGTTGTGCAACTTTTGTAGTGAGTACTGCGCTATGAGGTGCGCTGCTATCAATGTGAGTTGAGCAATCCTGGGGTGTAGCCTTGCATGAAGAGCGCATTATAGACGTCAACTCTGCTTAGAGTGAGATAGACGAGAGTGGACAGACCGGGGCTGACAACGCCTGATTCCAAAGCGAGGATTCCTCACTTGAAGAGATTGAGTTTACATCTATCTACGAACACAACATCACACAGTTGTCAATCTCAATATTTCTAGCGACTAGGGCTCCTGGGGAAAAGACGGAGCTTGCTTGACATTGGAGTGTCGTGAGTCATCAAGGTCGCAGGTTCGATTCCCAATCACGTAATTTTTCTTGAATAAATGTGTACGCACGTACATACGCGTGCACGCACGAAGTGTTTGTGAAGTGAGAGGCCTCCGCATCCTTCGCTCGTTCCGTAACTATCTATATGTACTACGTGCACTAAACACAATAGACAAAGTGGGGAATTCGATACCGTTGAATACGTGAGGCGAAGCTAATCTGTTCTAGCTTCCCATCGGACTCGTCTGTATAATGTTTAGGACTTGACATAACCAAAGGATAGGTTGTAGGTTAACAACATCAGCTTATAACAAGAGCATGAGACATGGAGTTACCAATTTGTTAATGTCAACAGCGCTCGCCATGCTTATCTATATATGAGTCTTGCCGGGCAGGCACAAATCATCTTATAAGTGTTAACTAGTTAACACAAGTCAAATACCGATACGGAGGGCGCGTCACACAGTGCGTCTCCGTCACACACGTGCATATCATCCGCGGTGCGTCCTCCACCCTTGTCCAGGGTGCGTCGTGGAACGACCTGTGCGGTCGAACGTCGCCGCAGCTTCACAGAACCAGACGGCGTATGCCGTGTATGATTTCTTTCAATCCAGCCCGCCATTCCCGGGAGCAAGCATCGGTTGGTCGACCGTGCGCGGCGTCGCATCGCCGGCACGCGCCCGCCGGAGAGCAACGTGCGCGGCGCCAGCAGAGGCGCTCGTCGGACTAACTCGATGCTTCGAGGGCTGGAAGCCACAGACACCTTCTGTTTTCCAGCCCACCAGACCCACGCGCCCAGAAGTGGGATATTTAACGCACTCATCCTCGACCGTCGCAGAGGAGGGCATACTCTAAAATACTTTGTACGACCAGATGTATAAGACAGGTCGTGATTACTGTCTGTACACACGCATGACAACGCGTCGTTGACGCATTGTCAGACACATCTTTCTCGTTCCGTGGCACATCGAACACGCCTACAATTAAGACAACCAGCCATCCAGAGTTCACCAATTACCCAAACTTCCATTAGTTCCTGCATCCAATTTAGCAATCAAATCATTTGAGTCAAATGTCCTCAATCTTGAAATTCAAACGACAGCTGCTATATGCGTTGGCTTTATTTCTCCTCCCGACAGCAGTAGCCGGCGTCAACCGTCGCTCAACTTTCACGGGACTCGTCCTGGCATACCTTGTCTATCTGTTCGACGGAGCGGAGTACGAGCCATGGAGCAGGTGAGGAGGAGGTTGGGGCGGCTCTGAGTTCTCGACAATGCTTTTGCAGGTTTTGGCCTGCATTCTACCAGCTTGGGGGATGGCTCCATGCACGGAACTTGAAGAGATTTGCCTCCAACGTGGAGACTGTATTTGTGGACAGGCGAGCCCTAGTCCGGCACCCGAAAGTCATTTACTCTTTGCATCCTCATGGCGTGATGTCTATGTGCCATCCTCAAGCATTCTATAGCATTCCGCACGACACATGCAAGTTAGCCGCGTCAATTTGCTTCAAGGTTCCTCTCATGAGAGAGACGTACCTCTGGTGTGGCATGATCGATGCGGGCCGCCCTACTTGCATGACAGCTCTGGATCAAGGATACAGTCTCACCATTGTTGTTGGAGGAACTCGAGAGCAACTAATTCCTTATTCTCCCACTCATGACACAATTTTATGCAAGAACAGAAAGGGCTTCATCAAGCTGGCTCGAGATGCTGGTCGGATACCCATTGTTCCCTGCTACTCTTTCGGGGAGTCCATCGCCTACGGTAAGTGCAATTCGCATTAGCCCATAAACTAACAGGAAGAGTTCTTTTGTCGGTCAGAAACGAGCGATTTTCTCCTGTCATTCCGTCGTTGGCTGCAACGTCGATTCGGGGTTGGCTGGGCTGTAGCGAAAACGTGGAACCCGAGACGACTCAAGGACTTCGTTCTCGTTGTAGGATCCCCTATCACATGGGAAGAGCAAGATACTGTTGAAACCATTCACGCCAAGTAAGTATTCCACATTTCGCCTTTCTCTGTTGTTGAAAAGACGTCTCAGATATGTTGCTGCGGTGAGAGATTTGTTTTACGAGCATCGCGCTAACTATGCTGAGTATGCCAACCGCGAGCTTCTCATCGAATGATTTTTAACTATCATGCGAATGCCTCGTAGTCGACAATTCTGCGTAACTTTCCACCGTTCGTTTAGAGCAATGGCTTTCGTTGTCTCAGGGTATAGTGTAAATCTCTGTACCGCCAAATCAAGTGGTTTAATCACATGGACAGTCGTAGTTGGTCATTGAGCAGGCGCGAATTTTCCTCGTAGTTACAGCAGGACTATTTCCCATTACCACTTCAGTGTTGTAGCCGAGCGAGGCCACTCGGCCTCTTACTTCCATAGTGTTCCTCGGATTAGTATGCTAGAATGCCTTTCGAACACTCATAATATTTAGTGTTATTGTGTCATGGACTCTATCGTGCACCGCCTCAGCTCTCAATTACTCTACCGAACAAAACATGTACAAGCGTGGAACAACAGTATTAGACATGGCATCTCATGAAGACGGTCTTTACTCGGCGGCCGCACCATATGAGTCAGTAAGCACCGGCGGACGCTCGTCGAACTCGAACCCGTCCCATTCGTTAGACAATTTGTCAGAGCCGCGCGTGTCCTTTCGAAAAAGCCAAAACTTTTCTGAAGCAATTATCAGTCATTACAACAGATGTCGCGCCAACGGATCCTACCTAAAGCTGCTCTTATTTTCGTTGTGCCGTAGACGAGCGTAGCTCCAGGGGCGGTCAGAAAACGCCCCATGGCGACCGAGAGCCCCTCATCCCGAGCGACTACTCCCAATATCACTGCTGTAACCAGGATAAACGTTAGGACGAGTGTACTTAACGGTGAAGGACGGCTCATGGTGGGCACCGCCATCGATCTGTGAACTGACAGCAAACCACATCCCAAACGATGCAATGTTTCCCAACTGACCTCGCGGCAGGATAGAGTTCTGCACACTTTTCATCACAGTGGCCAGCTAGGAGGAGAAATAACACCAAAAGTTAGCACCGGACATTGCATCATTACCCCTTTGCTATTCCTGGCCATTTCGATGATGACTCTTGTTGCTCGAACGGACTCGCGGCATAACGATCCGATGTCTTTGCCCTTATCGACTTGCTCGTTCATACATGCCAGTACTCCCCTAATAAAGGGAATCAGTATGTATGTACCCCTGCTACATCCATACCGTTCCATGGTGTCCTCAACCGCACAATACTTCGATATAGGTTCTGCACATACAAAAGGCAGGGATTTCTCCACTGACTTAACACAAGCTTTCGAAACTTGTAGCGCCTTCAGGCCTAGGCAGTGCAGCCTAAGCAACTCGTGTCATCAAGCGCCGAATTGCCACATTTACCTCGATTTTTGCATCCCTATTGAGATATCACTCTTCCCCACACTCGGATCTTTCGGGCACAGGCGAGCTACGTCTTTCTCACAAGGGTCGTCGAGAGGCCCACCGTTTTTCATAATGAACTCCTTCATGAAATGCGGCTCGCCATTACCGATTGTCTAAGTTTACAGTTGTGCCGACTACAATATAACTGCAGGCTACTGCCTAATCTGCCGGCGCATAAGTCTACAGTATGCTAACTCAGCGCCCTCAGCACAATGGTGGCCAAGCGCAAGCTGATCAAAATCTCTATGGTGTTCGATAGAGACATCCACACCATACTTTGTCAGACATTTACAAGAAGAGGGAGCTAAGCTGGTAATAGCGAAACTCATACCAAAAACTCATCTAGGAAAAATCCTTTGCTCACCGATGAGTCACCGCCGTGTCCAAGGTCATCAAGTATATGACTCAGTAACGAGTCCATCATCCCGTCACCCGGCCCCACCGAGCCATGCATGGGGAATAATTTATTGATGTCATCAAGAGGAATGGGCGGGCCCTCGCTGGGCGATCGTTCCCCACTGCCTAGGATATCACCAAGGGGTATAAACTGAAAGAAGACCAGGCTAGTTCTGAGACAAGCCAACCAAGCCCTGGCAAGCATGTACTACTCTCACGTGAACTCCTCTTCCTGTCGCTCTTCCCAACAATGCCAGAGGGAGCAGCGTTGAAGCGGTTGAACTCGGTGGAAGACGCATTGAGAGCAAAACCGGAAGTGCACGAATTTATACAACTATGAATGAATACTTATATGCTTCTGTTCGGGCATTGATACTTCCGGCGAATCGACAATGATAATCGTGCCGTCCGAGCTATTGTTCAGAAAACACCCCCATAGTGCGCTCTTCCACAACACGAAAAATATCTGTCAATTCGAAGCCCGTTTGGTAGGAGTATCGATCCGGTGGTAGAGTGGGAATTCTATTCGACCTGCATCCGGATGCACCACTGCTTACAGTTGGCCCAACTTATTCCCAACTGAGTTGCGGAATCAAACTAGTTATCCGATAGTTGCGTTTACAGTGTAAACTTTACACTCAAACTTCGGGAATCATGTTCGAAAAAGAAGCTCGAACCAGAGATCGAACGACGCGGAAAATATCGCTCGCCACAAAATTATTCAAGTTGCGTTGCGTTGCAAAATGAGGCTCAAGTTATTGAGCAAGTTCAAGCGGAGCGAAGATGCCTTTCTGCAATATGCGAGAAGCAAGCTTGCGTCGAAAGGGAAGGTGAGGAAGAGGGCCAAAGATGCTTATCTACCGCCTTCGGCAAGGTGTTCTACCCCTCTATCACCCTGCCCTATGTCCACTATGTAACAATTCTGCCTATTCGGTACGTCATCTCCTTCTTTATTGCCCAGGTTTGAACAGATTCCGGCCATCCTTCATTTCTACACCAGTACAACCCAACCTCGAAGACAAGTACTTCTTCATGCTCCTCTACTCCACTAAGGAACTGCTTCAAGTTTCACTCACCCTTGCCAAAGCCAGCCACCTTCACCTGTGATCTCCCTCTGTAGGTAACTCCTACTCGTGCTGTGTGGGATTAGGAGACTCGTCCGCTGGTCACGTTTGTCTTTCTTTGACCTTTCTTCTTTCATTTCTGTCATGACAGGGGATTTCGCTGCCGCTCCTTACCACTCTAGCGTGCATCAGTCGTTGTAAGGGCGATACGCCAACAGGCGTGTAACGCCCCGGTAATAGGCGTTGCGTTGCGTTGCGTTGCGTTGCGTTGCCAAAGATGCATCAGGATAGGTTTTTCAGAAGGTACGGTAGAAGCAAGCTCCATCGTGTGGGGAGAAGCACCAGGACGGTGTCCCTCACAAGGGGGAGTGCTTGCTGGAGGTGTACGAGGGTCCATCCGTACGTAACGGCACCCATATGGATGGGTGAGTACCCTCAGTAGCCAGAGACGAATCGTCTCCGTTATCACTTAGGTGGAGTCGTCAGCCACCTGATTCGTCCCAAAGATGGACGACGGATTGGCAAGGATTGCTTTAAGCACCCACGACAAAAAACGTAGGTCCTACGTTTTTTCCTGCCAGAGTGAGTACTCCTGGAGTACTCACTCTGGGGCAAGACTCTAACGAGGTCGGGGGAACTTCGACACGGCGAACCCCCCCCCCCCTTCTCAAGGAGTGGAGCGCCGGCAACCTACGTCGCAGCGGTTTCATCTTGAAGACGTTCTCGCCATTGCCTTCGACAGGACCCCTATGTATTCTTCAATGCACGAACTTCATTACGCTTTATACTATCTCTTACGGTATGGCAAGATGTTGATCTTCGCGCCTTGTGTTATCTCATCTATCTCGTTTGTAAGGAAGTGTAAGAGCCGCCTTGAGTGGGTTTGATCCTCACACATATTACGTGTATTAGTTTCCCATGATATCTTTGTTAAGTCTCTTCACAGCAGAGGCAGTTAAGGACGGCTACGCTGCAGCCATTACCTCCACAGCTGAGACTTTGAAGATTGCCGAGCTCACGTCCCGCACCATCCATAGATACTATCAGCGGACGGCGCTGACGCCTTTACCCAGGGGTTCAAAAAGGTATAGATAACGGGCTCGGGTGTACGCTGCCTTGCAATTCCAATGACTCATGAAAACTCAACACTCTCACAGGGTCACTGTGATCGGCCAGATTGCTACCATAGGCATCCGCCGAGGGAAACTCTTGCAGGAAAATTAAATCTCAGATACATGATCCATACGGCGAGCAAGGATGCAACGAACCTACGTGTCAATACCAACTAATGGTAACTGACCCTGCCTTGTGAGGTCGATCCCGAGAAGTTGGACCGCTGGCAGGGGCCCCCCGGGCAAACGTGAGGAGAACTATCGTTATCGTTGGTGTTGGGACAGAGTCGAAGTGGTATCGTCAATTTGATCATGGTGAATGTGATTTTGGAGCATTACTCTTAATGGCAGCATAAGCGTCATCGGAGAATTCTTCCGTTCTGGAAGTGATCTGCAGTGATTACACAAACAATCACCAGAATCGTTGAAGAGCGCGGGCTCGGCGTCAAGATATCTGCACCGTATCCTGTTCCATCAACTGTCTGTCTAGCATCTGCGCCAGTACAGCACCTAAATCAGGGCAAAGATAGCTAGAGATGGGTTGAATCCGGAAGGGATTCCTTCAGACTAGCAGTCAGAAGCGTCCGAACTACTCCAAGTAAACCTCACTCTCGCGCAGCTGGTATTCTGCTTGCCAGATGAAGGGTGACGGCCAACTATCCCAAGATGAAGCCGCAGTGCGGCTGCCGCACACAGGGGGCCTCTCTGAGAGGAAATGAAGTGATATTTGATGTTGAATTCCATCCGGGACTGGCGCCTATAGAAGGCTTCTATTAGAAGCTGGCAGGTTCAAGCTGCTCACTATTCAGCAGAGAAGACCTCGAAAGTCCCCGATACTTCTGAGTCATCGGAGGAATGACAGAGCGAAGGGAGAGAACGATACTCGATAACTTACCATCGAGCTGATTCGCAAACACCTCAAGTCTGCACGGCGTGCAGTGCACACTGTGCTTCTGTCAGAGCTTTGCCTCCCTTTTTGTCGTACAACAATATGCCCAACGACAGCCCGACGAATCAGATTCCAAGCGAACAGCAGGGCCCTGATCGTCAACTCGATAGGCCGCGTCACGTTCAGTTGCCCGCACAA